AGGTTCCTTGATGTTGGTGAGGGGCTCTTGATTTAGGGAATTGGATCTGTGCTCCAGTTCCCCAAATTAAGCCTGAATGCCTTCCACATCCCCCCCCAGGCGCTGTATAATCCTCCGGGTTTAGCGCTTCCCCCTTGATTGTAATAATAATAATAACCCTTGAAGCTTGCTAAAAGCGACTCTTAGATCCTGCATTTTTTCCAACTGACCTACCTTCAGAAATGGCTAAGAAAGTGACTCCTGGAATGCAATGCCAGTAAGTATATGACAATGAAATTAGGGACTATTGAAAAGGAACCAGAGTCACTGTAAACATCTTGCTCACAAAACTAATCAATGAAGAATCCATAAGTGATGTTATGTTTAACCTGTAACCCAATGTTCACACAAAGGATAATACCAGCGGTGTATGACCCTAGTAGGTTCACCACTTTGTTCTTTCAACAAACTGGCTGTATCCCACCAAGTCAGGGTGACCCAAAAGGAAAAATGAATGTTTAGAACTTAGTTATGATTGTAATAATAATAATAATAATAATATGCTATACTAGCAAAGAGAATCCCCTTCAAGAACTGGAGCAAGGAATCATTTACATCATTACAACAAATTCTTGCTGGTGAGAAGCTCTTGATTTAAGGAATTGGATCTGTGCTCCAGTTCCCTGCATTAAGCCTGAATACCTTCCATCCCCCCCCAGGTGCTGAATAATCCCTACGAGTTTAGTGCTCCCCATGATAATAATTATAATACAACAAATTCTTGAGTATGCAGTAACTGTAGACCACACCCAGTCAAAACTAACAACTTCGAAAAGTACAGACTATCTTACCCAAACTGATCTCAGAGTTAGAGGACAAATGCTGAAAAAACAGAATGGATTTCATTTCATGATTCTGGAGGATCATACACAAGAAATAACATATCAATTGCTGTGGGAAAAAGAGTAGAATAGACTGACACCAGTTACAAAGTATAGTCCAAAAATAACAGCAAAATAATGTAACCATTTTATGTGCTAAACCTATATGAGTCATACAGTGCTGACTATAGACTAAACACTTAAGAAGGGACACCACAAGCTTAACTCTGTTTTTGTAATAATAAATAAGTAATTGCATATGAAACCTAAATAAATAAGTGTACCATAGGGGAATTAAAAAATTACTGTAACAGTATACAGTGGACCCCCGCTTAACGATCACCTCCAAATGCGACCAATTATGTAAGTGTATTTATGTAAGTGCGTTTGTACGTGTATGTTTGGGGGTCTGAAATGGACTAATCTACTTCACAATATTCCTTATGGGAAAAAAATCAGTCAGTACTGGCACCTGAACATACTACTGGAATGAAAAAAGTTCGTTAACCGGGGGTCCACTGTATTAGTTGTAAAAAAGTGAAATAGTGTATCAAAAGTTAAGAGGGAAAAAACCTTGATACAGAACTTATCCTCAACAAACTTGGCTAGGTAAACACAAAGTTAACCATTTCATTATGTCACTACTAACTTCTAACCTTCTAGGAAAGTGTGGTTCACAAGTTAAGAAACTTTATTTGTTTAATTTGATGTATCAACAGTTTGTGGGGTAAGAGTAAATTTGTGATTGATGCAATCTGTGATCATGAAAACAGTTAATATCACAAATACTATTACTACTACTACTACCAATATCCTTCCTTAAATCAAGTCTGAATGCCTTCCAATACCCTAGGTGCTTTCCCATAAATGTAATAATACAAAATACAGAAGAGCCCTGTTTTTTGGGTAATTAGGCTCCCAAACCTTGTCAATAAGCAAAAATTACTGAAAAATAGAACATCGCATTTTTTCACTATCGAATGCATATAAAATGTCTGATAACATTACACTATCATGTATTAAGTGCTCAATGCATTAGACCTAAAAAAAGATAGAAAAGTAAAATGAATATAAGTATATACACTACCTTAAAATAGGGCACCAGATGCCCTTCCCTGATGCAACTGTTGCATGCATCAGGCTGAAAATGGCAAAAAAGCACAAAACAAAATGAACAATGGCTAAATTGAAAACCACTGAAATAGCGGGTCACTGAAAAGAGGATGCTGAAATGCAGAGCCCCTCTGTACTATTTTCTAACCCTATACATAGCCTGTCTCCTCTCATACTTGTGTATTTGTATTGATCAAGGTCCCAGTACCAAAACTATCTTCAATAAAACCTCCAATACTACTACTACCACTACCACCTCCTGCCTATATATATACCCCTCCTTCTCTCCTTTTCATTCGTGTGGCTTTGTAAATGGTCCAAGTAGGACCGAAACGTCGTCGTAAGCTCCTCTCTTCTATGTGCGGGTTATTTGTGTTTTGTTCCAGTCACGGTATTGTGCCTTTTTTTGTTATTCATCTTCAATAAAGGTAAATACATTTGTGTCCATTTCTCTCTAGTTGTTGGCAGTCATATGCCTTCTCACCACAAACCCATTAATGTTAGGGTTTTCTCAAAATTTGTCTGTGATACTTGGTGTTAAAAATTCTTGATACCTGTTGTTATATAGTTTTAAAACTATGCAGTTTTGGAAACATTTTGCTCAATTTCTATTTTATGTAGTAACAGCAATTTTATACAACATAAAAATGCTCTATTTTAAATTTATTATCTGAATGACTATAGGAAACACTTAACTAATTTTTATGTAGAACATGAAGTAAACAGATGCTTAACTGATTATTATTATATTCATAAAAATTTCCAATTGATAAATCTTGTTTCATTTTATCAACAGTCTCCTGCTTCTTGGGAACACAGCACTCTATTTTTTTTATCTCAAGTCACCTTTAAATTAATTATTATTACTTATACATTCATAGAAAGAGGTAAATCAGTGAGGGCCATTCAGCTCAGCATGACAAAGGTGAGAGAGATGATGGAGGGAGAGAGACAGGGTATTGAGAGAAGGATGCCAGTAGAAAAAACTTTTGAAGTTGCTTAACAATGGTGTTAACTAAAAGACATATTAAAGCAGGGAGAAGTGTTATTTTACCTAGTAAGGGTCTATACTGTTCATTGGCTCCAAGGCAGTACTGTGGGTCTATAATGTTCATTGGTCTCAAGGAGGTATTATGGGTCCATCCCATTCATTGGCCCAAGGTAGTATGTATTGTGGGGTCCATCCAGCTCATTTTCTATATCTATGACAACAAATGCCAACCATCAACTCTGATATTCTCTGCTGATGCCACTACTACTGTTTTTATAAGTCCTGGACCTAATGCATTAAATATAACAATGAATGATAAACTAAAACATATCCCCACATAGTTGATACCCATCAAACTTACACTAAATCTAAGAGAGACTTACTATATGTTATTTGGTAATTACACAACTAACCACTCAAACATCAAATTAAATGACAAATCAATAGAAAATTGAAGGTAAAATTCTAGGATTACACCTGGACTATAAACTAAAATACAATACTGTACTTGTATTCAACACATCAAAAGTATCAAAAACTACAAGCAAACTCTCAAAAGTTTGCCTATTGTGTACCTACCTCAACTCTGTTTTCTCTATATTATACACACTCGTCTATCCATATCTCATATGGTGTTTGTGTATGCGAATCAGCAACTGTAAACTATCTTAAACAAATCAACAAAAGTCTACCATCAGAATTGTATCAAATGCTAGCTTTACACAACACATACCACCTCTATTCAAAACTATAAATTTACTAAATATACAAGTCATTCATGCATTCTACTGGTGAAGCATCTTGTGCAGGATAAACATATTGACAATAAAGGTACTTGAGTATTGCACATCTGTCTGATTCATCAATGGAGAGAGACTTTTGTTTAACAAATGTACAAAAATTAACGAGAGAATTATTATTACAATCAAAACTAAGAGCAAAACCCACAAGGGTGTAAGAAGAAATATCCTGAGAGAGTAGTATCATAAGTGCTGCTTCTGTTAAATATCAGCACTTGCCTCAAATACTGGGAATTATATCAATGATTTGGACATACAACAGGCATGTGTAAGCGTGTTAGATAGGAGTGAGTGGAGACAAATAGTTCTGGGGACTCGATGAGCTGTTGGAGTGTGAGCAGGGTAATAGTTTGTGAAGGGATTCAGGGAAACTGGATAGCCAGACTTGAGTCCTGGAGGTGGGAAGTACAATGCCTGCATTTTAAAGGAGGGGTTTGGGGTATTGGCAGTTTGGAGAGACATCTAAACTGTTGTATCTGAGTGCCTCTGCAAAGACAGTGATTATGTATGAGTGATTGCAAAAGTGTTGAATAATGATAAAAGTGTTTTCTTTCTTTTTTGGGTTTTTCTTTCTTTTTTTGGGTCACCCTGCCTCGGTGCGAAACAGCCGACATGTCAAAAAAAAAAAAATGGTTTTCTGTAGCTTCAAATTCTATTCTATACTTTAATTGCACAAAAACCAGGTAAGGCAACCCAAAAAAAAGAAGAAACACTTTCATCATCACTTACTCTATCACTGTCTTGCCAGAGGTGTGTCATATCTGATATATCTCCACACAGTACTTTTATAATTTCCAAATGTGACAAACAACTTTCCCTTATCCCTTGACAGACATTTTCATGCACAACTGCAAATTTTTTGTGCATGAAAAAATAAACAAGGTCAGTAACTATAACAAGGCTTTACACTGCATGATTTAAACCACTCTAAAAATTAAAAATTACATTCTTTGCAAAAAAAATTCTTTATTTGTCACATTATTAATACTGTATCAAGTGTGATATAATACAGTAATATGCTTAATATAATTTATAAATAAGATGAGAAAGCTATACAAGTACTGGAATTTGTTGAAAATTTTCCATCATACGTCAACGCTCCAATCACACAAAAATAAGAGAGTAAACAAATTTAGATACTTATCTAACCGGTACTTTTTCTACTAAATCCCACCAGTGTTTACCACCTGTGGTAATACAGTGGAACCTCGGTTTTTGTATGCCTCAGCTTGCATGTAAAAACCACAGTTATTCTCAATAAAATGTTTTTTTTTTTTTTAATATTTTTGGGTGTCTGGAATGGATTAATTGGATTTACATTATTTCTTATGGGAAATTTTATCAAAAAAATACATTTTATAGAGAATAACCACAGTTTTACATACAAACCTGGGGCATACGAAAACCAAGGTTCCACTGTACCCTATATAAATATCGTTATTAATATTTACATACATTTGCAATTACAGTACAGCATTTAAAAGAAAGCTAATTTAAGAAAAATTAACCTATAGCATAACATAGTATAATGTAGCAACATTATACACCTGAGCCTCCTATTGCTTTCAATACAAAGGCTGTTGCTAGTGTGCCTATGCCTGCCCCAACTGCCATTGCTGTGGCTATACGACGATAACTATATGTCTCTACGACTGCTGGTGATTCATGATGTCCATCACAGAGAAACACACTTTGTTTACCACTCTCTAAAGGCGATGATACAGCTTCTAATAGAGATTGTTTCACCAGAGACGTTATTTCATCTCGAGCTCTACCTCCTTCTGACACTATGTGCGACACAATAGTCTCAAACTCCGTATTTAATCGTTCAATGAGCACCTCTCTCTCTTTAACAAAAGATGCATTAATATGCTGTAATAAAGTGTGCTTAATATTCTCCGTCAACTTTGCTACATCATCTATAGTTGTGATTGCTGGTGCTTGTCTGTCAGAACTCTCACAAATACCTGGGTTGCTTTGTGCTGTCTGCTGTAGCTTAACTAGTCCAGGTTGTGAGTGAGTGGGACTGGCCAGTGATGTCGTAATAGTTCCTAGTACATCCTTGTGCATCTGCTGAAATCCATCCAGTAGACTTTGGCCATTCCCCGACACATGATCCTTAATCTCTCGAATCCTAACCCAGTTGTTGACCGAGGTGATGAGTGATGCCAGGGCTGCTGATACCACTGATGCAATTATTGACCTTGAAACAAGAGGCACCATCATGTGATGACTGTAAAGTCTTTCTAAAGGAGATGAGAGAATGATGAGGCATGTCATGCAATACTCTTATATATCTACTTTGTGGATATTTGCTGTTATGTGTATCAATTTAGTCTGGCTTGATTTTGTACCATGACAAACTACATGTCTTGACCAAGAATTTGATAATAGTGGATACTATACAATCTTTTACTAATGATTAAGAATATAATAAATTAAATGCCAAAGATAGGACACTATGTAGTTACAAATACATAGGTAATTACACGGAAAGGTAGTCACAAATACACACAAGAAAAAATGAACCACTTTACTCCATATCAGAGGGAGTTTTTGAGTAAATCTGGATCTAACTAAAATATTTGAGATTCTACATGGGGTCATTCTAAATCTATAAAGAAGACTGTATGAAAGACCAAGACACAAACACAGACACAGGAGACACAGACACACAGGAGCTGTGACTTGACCCCTGCAACCACAAATAGGAGAGTACAGACAGAGACACACACAGACACAAACACACACACAGACACAGACACAGACACAGACACAGACACACACACACACACACACACACACACACACACACACACACACACACACACACACACACACACACACACACACACAAAGACAGGATGTTCCAGAGATTGGACACAGCAACAAGGGAACACAGTTGGAAGTTGAAGACACAGATGAATCACAGGGATGTTAGGAAGTATTTCTTCAGCCACAGAGTAGTCAGGAAGTGGAATAGTTTGGGAAGCGATGTAGTGGAGGCAGGATCCATACATAGCATTAAGCAGAGGTACGATAAAGCTCATGGTTCAGGGAGAGTGACCTAGTGGTGACCAGTGAAGAGGCGGGGCCAGGAGCTTGGACTCGACCCCTGCAACCTCAACTACATGAGTACAGTGGAACCTCAAATATCGAACTTTCTTCGGTCCAGAAGGCTGTTCGAATGCCACTACCGAACGAATTTATTCCCATCAGGAATAATGTAAATTAGATTAGACCATTGAAGACCCTCAAAAATACACTTATAAAAGCACTTACAAAAATACACTTACATAATTGGTTGAGTTGGGAGCGGTTCAATTTTTGAGGTTCCACTGTACAACTAGGTGAGTGTACACACACACACACACACACATACACACACACACAGTGAAGGCAGGGCCAGGAGCTTGGACTCGACCCCTGCAACCTCACAACTAGGTGAGTGTACACACACAATGATAACATACACGCAATAAAAAAACTTTAGTAATTTACATAACTCTTCTTTGAAGAAGTAAAGATCTTGTCAACAACAAATGAAAAACTGGAATACCTATGGTCATTTAAATCTAAATGTGAAGGACAACATATGTACTTCATAATTTTAGTGCATTCTGAATAGTCTGAATACCTTATGACTGACACTCTATTAAAAATGAATGGCTCTGAATAAAATTACATTTACCAAAAATTAAGGTGATAAGAATGTCTTACCAATACTTGCTCTGCTCTGCCTGCATGCGTTCCCGCTCGTGACAGTCACGTATAGCAGCAGACATTTGGGTAAAAGTATCACGCTCGTGCCGTTCACACTGCACAAACTCCAGACGTACAGTTTTCAGTCGACTGTTCATATCACGGGCCTGCATGCCATAAATGTGTTTACTGGTAAGCAATCCTGCATTACATATATTAAATGAACAATAAAGAAAATGAAGTCTGTAGTCTTCTGACAAAACAGTTATTGAATGAATGGTAGAGAATATTTCCTTGTCAGGGATCAGTCTACCTTGATGGGGAATGGACAAAGTCTTGTAAATAAAACAAATATCAAAAACATTATGAGTAGACCCTAATGCATGAATAAATGGTTCAGAAAACCGACAAGCTGATAAATGAGACACTTGTACAACATTTAGGTATCTTTATTCTAGTAATGTTTAGCCACTGACTGGTAAAATGTTTCCAGAATAATGATACCAAAATGTTGCAACACAAGTGTCTCATTCATCAGACACTAATGTATTTATGAGAAACTGGCAAAATATAAATTTCCCAAAAGAAGAAAAAATACACATCAAACACACAGTCTTCTACCATCTAGAATGTTAACACAGAAAACAGTCTTTATGATTCCTTATCCAAACATTATGATGTTAGTATTCTCTCCCTTCCCATACTCACTATAATGAATAACTCACAATACTATAGCTGGAAATAAAATCATTAACTCATGTTTTGGTCTATCCTGGATCATTTTCAAGTCACAACTGAGCAAGAAATGACTTGTGACTTTCTAACTTACTGTCTCTTTGACAGACTGAAATATCTCGAGACAGAGGAGAGTTGTCAGTTAATAGTACCTATCAACTTCTGTGCAACTGCAACCATTCTCTTTGTATGCCATACACCATACTGTAGTATAAAATATAGTCCTCACTTTATTCACATGAGATCTAATTTTTTTTTTTAACAAGTCGGCCATCTCCCACCGAGGCAGGGTGACCCAAAAAGAAAATACTTTCATCATCATTCAACACTTTCACCTCACTCACACATAATCACTGTTTTTGCAGAGGTACTCAGGACACAACAGTTTAGAAGCATATACGTATAAAGATACATAACATATTCCTCCAAACCGCTAATATCCCGAACCTCTCCTTTAGAGTGCAGGCATTGTACTTCCCATTTCCAGGACTCAAGTCCGGCTATATAAAAATAACCAGTTTTCCTGAATCCCTTCACTAAATATTACCCTGCTCACACTCCAACAGATCGTCAGGTCCAAAATACCATTCGCCTCCATTCACTCCTAGCGAACACGCTCATGCATGCCTGCTGGAAGTCCGAGCCCCTCGCCCACAAAACCTCCCTTACCCCTTCCTTCCAACCTTTTCGAGGATGACCCCTACCCCACCTTCCCCTACAGATTTATACGCTCTCCATGTCATTCTACTTTGATCCATTCTCTCTAAATGACCAAACCACCTCAACAATCCCTCTTCAGCCCTCTGACTAATACTTTCATTAACTCCACACCTTCTCCTAATTTCCGCACTCCGAATTTTCTGCATAATATTTACACCACACATTGCCCTTAGGACATCTTCACTGCCTCCAACCGCCACCTCACTGCTGCATTCACAACCCAAGCTTCACACCCATATAAGTGTGTTGGTACTACTATACTTTCATACATTCCCTTCTTTGCCTCCATAGATAACGTTTTTTGTCTCCACATATACCTCAATGCACCACTCACCTTTTTTCCCTCATCCATTCTGTGATTAACCTCATCCTTCATAAATTCATCCACCAACGCATCAACTCCCAAGTACTGTATATGAAAACATTCACTTCTTCCATACTCCTCCTCCTCAATTTGATATCCAATTTTTCTTTATCTAAATCATTTGATACCCCTTATCACCTTACTCTTTTCTATGTTCACTTTCAACTTTCTACCTTTACACACACTCCCAAACTCATCCACTAACCTTTGCAATTTTTCTTTAGAATCTCCCATAAGCACAGTATCATCAGCAAAAAGCAACCATGTCAATTCCCATTTTGTATTTGATTCCCCATAATTTAATCCCACCCCTCTCCCGAACACCCTAGCATTTACGTCTTTTACAACCCCATCTATAAATACATTAAACAACCATGGTGACATTACACATCCCTGTCTAAGACCTACTTTTACTGAGAAGTATTCTCCCTCTCTTCTACACACCCTAACCTGAGCCTCACTATCCTCATAAAAACTCTTTACAGCATTTATTAACTTACCACCTATTCCATATACAGTGGACCCTCAACATTCGATACTAATCCATTCCTGAGAGCTATCGAATGTCGAAAATATCGAAAGTCGAATTAATTTTCCCCATAAGAAATAATGGAAATCAAATTAATCCGTGCAAGACACCCAAAAGTATGAAAAAAAAAAATTTGCCACATGAAATATTAAGTTTAATGCAATAGAATCATTACAATAACAACAATAACAATAGAGTAATTGACACTTACCTTTAATGAAGATCTGGTGATGATTGATGGGATGGGAGGAGGGGAGAGTGTTGATGGTGTTAGTGTTTAGAAGGGAAATCCCCTTCCATTAGGACTTGAGGCAGCAAGTCCATTTCTGGGGTTACTTCCCTTCTTCTTTTAATGCCACTAGGACCAGCTTGAGAGTCACTGGACTTCTGTCGCACAACATATCTGTCCATAGAGGCCAGTACCTCTCGTTCCTTTATGACTTTCCTAAAGTGGTTCACAACATTCTCAGTGTAATAGTCACCAGCACGGCTTGCAATAGCTGTGTTAGGGTGATTGTCATCAAAAAAAGTTTGCACTTTAAGCCACATTGCACACATTTCCTTAATCTTTGAAGTAAGTAACTTCTTCAATTTCTCTCTCCCCTCCTCCGAAGCAGTTTCCTCAGGTCTGGCCTCTTGCTGTTGAAGATGATCTAGCAGCTCATCAGTGGTTAATTCTTCATTGTCCTCCTCCACCAACTCTTCCACATCCTCCCCACTAACCTCCAACCCCAAGGACTTCCCCAATGCGACAATGGATTCCTCAACTGGCATAGGATTCTCAGGGTTAGCCTCAAACCATTCAAAATCCCTTTTGTCTACACATTCTGGCCACAGTTTTTTCCAAGCAGAGTTCAAGGTCCTCTTAGTCACTCCCTCCCAAGCCATACCTATAAGGTTTATACAATTGAGGATATTAAAGTGATCCTTCCAAAACTCTTTTAGAGTCAGTTGAGTTTCTGTGGTCACTACAAAGCACTTTTGAAACATAGATTTTGTGTACAGTTTCTTGAAGTTGGAAATGACCTGCTGGTCCATGGGGTGCAGGAGAGGAGTGGTATTAGGAGGCAAAAACTTGACCTTAATGAAGCTCATGTCCCCAGAAAGTTGCTCTGCCAAGTCTGTAGGTTGACAAGGGGCATTGTCTAATACCAGGAGGCACTTAAAGTCTAATTTCTTTTCAATTAGGTAATTTTTCACATTGGGGGCAAATGCATGGTGTAACCAGTCATAGAAAAAGTCCCTAGTGACCCATGCCTTACTGTTTGCCCTCCACAGCACACACAAATTAGCCTTGAGGATATTGTTTTGCCTGAACACTCTGGGAGTTTCTGAGTGATACACCAATAAAGGCTTCACTTTGCAATCACCACTAGCATTGGCACACATCAGAAGAGTAAGCCTGTCTTTCATAGGCTTATGTTCTGGGAGTGCCTTTTCCTCCTGAGTAATGTAGGTCCTGCTTCGCAATTTCTTCCAAAACAGGCCTGTTTCGTCACAATTAAACACTTGTTCAGGTTTCAATCCTTAGGCCTCTATGTACTCCTTGAATTCGTGCACATATTTTTCAGTCGCTTTGTGGTCCGAACTGGCAGCCTCACCATGCCTTATCACACTATGTATGCCACTGCGATTCTTAAATCTTTCAAACCAACCTTTGCAGTCCTTAAATTCACTCACATCACCACTGGTTGCAATTATCTATTTCTTTATTTCAATAGTCATTAGTGCCTTTTTTCTCGAAGGCTTGGCACTAGAAGCTTTCTTGGGGCCCATGGGGACTTATTTTGCAGAAACAAGCACCAAACACAGTGATAATATGGATAATATGGAATGTACCGAATGTATCCTTAGATGCGCGCACACTGGCTGGCTTGTAAACACTGGCACACACGGGGCAGTTCAGGCCACACGTGGACACGTCTCGTACAAATCGTATTGAATGTCGGGTTTTCCATCGAATGTCGAGGCAAAATTTTTGCGTTAAAATGCATCGAATGTCGGATTTATCAAATGTCGATGCCATCGAATGTCGGGGGTCCACTGTACTTGCAACATCTGCCACATTGCTTCCCTATCCACTATCATATGCCTTTTCTAAATCCATAAATGCAATAAAAACTTCCCTACCTTTATCTAAATACTGTTCACATATATCCTTCAATGTAAACACTTGATCTACACATCCCCTACTCACTCTAAAGCCTCCTTGCTCATCCGCAATCCTACCTTCTGTCTTACCTCTAATTCTTTCAATTATAACCCTACCATACACTTTTCCTGGTATACTCAGTAATAATATTTATGATAAAATATTCATAATAATATTTATATTATATTATTTATAATAATATTTATGATAAAATCCATTAGAAAATCTAAATTATGTCTCCTGGAGGCAGCTTAAACAAGAACTAGCAGCATGAGAACTAGCAGCAACAGTCAATATTAATACATAAGGACATGTGAAAAAATAATAAGCTTCAAGCTTGGAATGCAGGGAGAAAATGATAGTTAATAAAATAAGTTTGTTGGGTCACACAACAGGTGTGTGTCTTCTTCACTATATTGACATAATATATAATGGATTAACAAAGAAAACAAAAGAAATAATTATATTCTACTGTATACTATTGGTTAAACATAAAATATATGCACAGAGGGAGATGAAAATAGATAAAATAGATGGGGGTGAAAAGTCTGACTTTTTTTTTGTTTTACAACATAACCATTTCCTACCAAGGTAGGGCAACCCAAAGAAAAAATATTTTCACTATATTTGAGCCTCATACTATCAGTGAAAATAAATTACAAACTCAAGATGGTTATGATTACAACTGCTACTTATAACCTAAGATTTACACTTATGAAGAACTAGGTTAGGTTAGGTAAGGTTTGTCAGGTAACAGGACAGGTGTTTCCTGGTGTGGGTCTCAGTCATGCGATGACCCACAGCTGGAATTTTGGTCATCTGACTAAGGCCCTCTAATGGCTTACCCGTCCACTGCTTTAAAAATCTGAGTCCTAGTATAAGTATGAAGAACTTCTTAAATAAATTTAATGAGAGGTCAATCAAGTTTAACACATTAACAGGATCATAAACAATAGTATTAAAAAAATTTTAATGTAAAAAAAAAAAGACCCAAGTACAGTGGGACCCCGAATATCAACCATAATCCATTCCAGAAGGTAGGCCTAAATTCAAAAAGGGCTAAATTCGAAGCAATATTTCCCATAAGAATTAATGTAAATGCAATTAATCCGGTCCAGACACCCAAAAATAATAAAAAAAAAATACATTTTGTAAAGTTTAACTATACTTTTACATACAAAAACAATGACAATTACATATAATCTTTCTTTCAACACATCGGCCGTATCCCACCAAGGCAGGGTGGCCCAAAAGGAAAAACGAAAGTTTCTCCTTTTACATTTAGTAATATATACAGCAGAAGGGGTTACTAGCCCCTTGCTCCCGGCATTTTAGTCGCCTCTTACAACACGCATGGCTTACGGAGGAAGAATTCTGTTCCACTTCCCCATGGAGAATTACATATAAATGAACATTTAATTCATTATTACATACCTGTATTGAAGACTTGTTGGCATATGGAAGACAGGAAGGAGGGGAGAGGAAAGAGGAGAGGTTATTGTTTGGAGGAGTCCCCCTCCATAATGACTTCAGGTATCAAGTCCCTGTTTGGGGTTACTTCCCTTCTTTGTCTTTTAATGCCACTAGGACCAGCTTCAGAGTTACTGGACCCCTGTCACACAAAACAACTGTCCAGAGAGGTCTGTTTCTGGTGCCTCTTTAAGATTTGCCTGAAGTGGGCCAAGGTTTTGTCACTAAACATGTTGCAGATATGGCTTGTTTCAGCTTGGTCAGGGTAATATTTCTCAGCAAAAGCTTGCACACTACTCCACAATGCACAAATCTCCTTAATCTCTGAAGAAGGCACCTCCTTTCCTCTCTCTTCCTCCTCCTCTGAAGCAAGTTCCTCAGCTGTGGTCTGTTGCCATTCCAGTTGAAGGTGTTGCAGCTCATCAGTGGTTAGCTCTTCCCTGTGATCGTCCACTAACTCTTCTGCATCCTGGCCACTTACGTCCAACCCCCATGGACTTCCCCTAAGACAATAGATCCCACAACAGGAGTAGGGTCGTCAGGGTCAGCCTCAAACCTTTCAAAATCCTTCTCGAGGACACATTCTGGCCACAATTTTCTCCAAGAAGAGTTCAAAGTCCTGAAAGTCACTCCCTGCCAGGCCTTACCTATAAGGCTTATGCATTTGTAGATACACTGAAATGATTCCTCCAGAACTCTCTCAGGGTCAATTCAGTGTCTAAGGTCACTTCAGAGCATCTTTGAAACACTGCTTTTGTGTAGAGGTTTTTTGAAGTTAGAAATGACCTGCTAGGCCATGGGCTGGATGAGAGGAGTGGTGTTAGGAGGCAAGAACTTCACTGTTATGACTGAAATCCCTAGACAATTGGTCTACCAAGTTTGGAGGATGAGCAGGAGCACTGTCCATTACCAGGAGGCACTTGAGGGGCAATTTATTTTCCTGGAGGTATTTTTTCATACTCGGGCCAAACACTTCATGAACCCAGTCAATGAAAAGTTACCTTGTGACCCATGCCTTATGATTAGCTTTCCACATCACACACAATTTACTCTTGACGACATTGTTTTTCTTGAACACTCTGGGATTTTCAGAGTGATACACCAGGAAAGGCTTCACTTTGAAATCCCCACTAGAGATAGCACAGAACAAAAGAGTTAGCCTATCCTTCACAGGCTTGTGTTCTGGCAGTGCCTTTTCCTCCTGTGTGATGTAGGTCCTCTTTGGCATTTTCTTCCAAAAGAGGCTTGTTTCGTCACAACTGAACACTTGTTGGGGGTGGAATTCTTCAGTCTTCATGTACCCCTTGAATTCCTGCACAAATTTTTCAGCCACATGTTTGTCTGAACCTGCAGCCTCACCATCCCTTGCAACATTGTGTATGCCATTATGCTTCTTAAATCTGTCAAACCAGCCTCTGCTGGCCTTAAGTTCACTAACATCAGCACTAGTTCCAGGCATTTTCTTTACGAGATCTGCATGCAACTGCCTTGCCTTTTCACAAATGATTCTCTGAAATACTATCTCCCGCTAATTGTTTTTCGTTGATCTACAACAACAACAACTTCTCCACATCTTCTATTGTTTGTGATCTCTTTTTAGTTAACATGTTTACCCCTTTTGCCACATCAGCTTCCTTGATTTCTTCTTTCTTTGCCAGGACAGAAGTGATTGTTGATTTGTTTTTTCCATACATCCTGGCAAGCTGGAGCACATGCACACCACTCTCATATTTTTCAATAACTTCTTTCTTAAATTCCATCGTGTTTCTCACTTTCTTTACCAAAGGAACTTTACTAGGAACTTTCTTTGGGTCCATGGTGGCTTATTTCACAGTTGTACTTAATAAACAAGCACAAAAACCAATGGATTTTGAGGAAATGTTTGGAGGAATGGGCAGAGTATATGCTCATTCACTGAGAGACACAGGGAAACTGACTCACCTATATGCGGCGTCCCGGAGGGAGGCAGGCTGATGCGTCTAATACAGACGATTTGTGAGGCACCAGCCAAAATATGGAGCAAAATTTCAGCCCAAAAACCAGCCTAAATACGATTCGGTCGATAAACGCAGCAGCTGATATTCAGGGTTCCACTGTATATACAAGAATATTAAAATTGAAGTGAATTGTTGGGAATCATATGTACAGGAGGGCCTCACTTTACAGTGTTCTGCTAATACAGAGGTTTTCAATTATACCTATTCATTTATTCAGACTTCCTACAATAAATATATGTATTCACCACTCACTATAAGTTAATGACGAAAATATTTTAAGGTAAGTAATGGGTTGGCCTAGGAAAGGTTGGAGGGAGGGGGTAAAGGAGGTTTTGTGTGCGAGGGGCTTGGACTTCCAGCAGGCATGCATGAGCATGTTTGATAGGAGTGAATGGAGACAAATGGTTTTTAATACTTGACGTGCTGTTGGAGTGTGAGCAAAGTAACATTTATGAAGGAGTTCAGGGAAACCGGCAGGCCGGACTTGAGTCCTGGAGATGGGAAGTACAGTGCCTGCACTCTGAAGGAGGGGTGTTAATGTTGCAGTTTAAAAACTGTAGTGTAAAGCACCCTTCTGGCAAGACAGTGATGGAGTGAATGATGGTGAAAGTTTTTCTTTTTTGGGCCACCCTACCTTGGTGGGAATCGGCCAGTGTGATAATAAAATAATAATAAAACAAAAATAATGTGTGTACTGTATATGCATTATTTTAGGCCTGGCCTTATTGTTAACTTAATATATGATAGTGCAAACATGTTATCAGGTTTTTATATGCAATTGAAAGTAAAAGAAAGCTATATTTCACTTTACAGTAATTTTCATGTTACAGTGGCAGCCTGAAAACTAACCTGCTGTATAAGTGGCATTCTCCTGTACAACAAACTCATCCACATGTTATGATCTTACAATTATTTATTTATTTATTAATTTGAGTGCACTGAAAATACTACAATGTAATGGATAAAACACTCATAATACTGTACAAACCTGGTCAAATAATGTAAAATGTTCCTGAGAATACTGCTCAGACTTAGAGATGCGTTCATGGTTGATGGCTAGCTTCTCCTGTAGATCCTCAATTTCCGCCTGCAGCTCTCGTCGCTTACCCTGCACCTCGTGCAAGACTTCAGACAGCTGCCAACAATATGCCAGTCAGTGACTGATAACAACCATGTGTGGTGAGTGGATAACTGAACTTATCATTTTTATAGGCTTTTAGATAAATTTATCCAATCTGTAGGTGAGGAACTGAAATAATATTAAAAATTTCCTACTGTCTGGAATTTTTATTGAAGAATTTTGGCCCCATTACAATAAGGCTCAATTTTATTGGGACCTATAATAAAGTATGAGAAAATCAGCATAACACTGACCTTTGCAATCTTGTTCAACAGCTCTGTCTCATCATTGGTCTGGCATTTCACTATTAAATTTTGCACATGCATCTCAAGCATCTGCATGTTACCTAATATGATGCAGCATATATTACAGTGCAAAATGCAAGAGATTGTCCATTAAAAAAAATTACCAGTAACTATATTTTATAATATTAAAATACATGTATAACAGCAAAAACCATTAACGTGTAATATATTCATAAGTACACTGTATATAACACAATAATGTTACTGTATTGGGTAAAATAAAATGAATTTCATAAATATGCAACAAAATTATTTAACTAGTAAATCAGGAGACAGCCAAGAAGATAACTGAGAAAATAATAAAATTACTAAAATGTTTATCTTAAATGACAATGAATCTTATCCTTGTTCAGATAATCAGAGACTTGACTTTTTTTAACACACCGGCCGTCTCCCACTGGGGCAGGATGACCCAAAATAATAAAGAAATGCTTTTACTTTCACTCACCACATCCTTATCCCCATCTTGCTAAAGGTGTGTCAACACTAATAAAAATGTGTAAGTGTACCGTTGCACTGGTGCAAATACTGCACTTACAAAGCAGAAACATATTTCACCCCATAAGTTGATACCTTCATCACTACTCTCTTCCACTCACCTCAGTAACTCTGTCCTGTGCATTTTTTAAGTCTGTAATTCCAATGAAATCTTGATACTGCTGATACCAACGATTCAGTATGTCATTCCAGTCCTCAGGTTTCTTTGCCTCAGCTCCTTTAGTCATTTTAGACATGCTATTAATCACAGATGATGATTTTTCTGACAGTTGCTGTCTGAATGAGTAAGCCTCCGGCTTCATTTCAGTCATTAGAGTAAACGGTTTGTCAGTACTTGTAACACTGGAACTGCTGGCTGTTTCTGATTTTTTATGTACATTCTTGTCATTTGCTGAATTGCTTTCACTCAATTCTGGCGGCTTCGATGAGCTGCACATGTGTCGACAAAATTTAGAATTCCACGCCACCTGAACCAGGCACACCCGGGCATCTTCAGTCCTTCCGCTATCTAACGGCAACACGATTTTGCTGCGGACACAAGCTGGACTCCATGACGAAGCAAGGGATCTTATTCTCAAGTAAGATGGCCCACAGCCATCGGAGAGGAGCAACCTACCTACAGCCATTACCGCCACTGGCTGCATGACTATTATAACAATTGCAGATTGACTTTTACCAAAATACTGTACTGTAGTTTCATCTCTATCCACTGACGGTGTCACTGGTGCACACTGAAGAACAGGACTTAACTGTCGTTCTGCAGATGTTATTCTTGGCCATACTGTACTGTCGCCATCAACCAAATGTACTCTGAAATTAAAAACTACTAATTATATTTTTTATTAACCAAATGTACTCTGAAATTAAAAACTACTAATTATAATTTTTATTTACCAAATGTACTCTGAAATTAAAAACTACTAATTATAATTTTTATCAACCAAATGTACTCTGAAATTAAAAATTACTAATTATAATTTTTATCAACCAAATGTACTTTAACCCTTTGAGGGTTTCGGCCGTACTAGTACGGCTTACGACCCAGGGTTTTTGACGTGCTAGTATGCCTAAATTCTAGCGCCTTCAAATCTAGTGGGAGAAAGCTGGTAGGCCTACATATGAAAGAATGGGTCTATGTGGTCAGTGCGCAGTATAAAAAAAATCCTGCAGCACACAGTGCATAATGAGAAAAAAAAAATGTGACCGTCTTTTTGAAATAAAACAGCGACTTTGCACTGTATTTTCGCATGGTATTTATTGTTGTATTCTAGTTTTCTTGGTCTCATTTTATAGAATGGAAGATATACTACAGAAATAGAGATGATTTTGACTGGTTTTTCAATGAAAAGTACCCTGAAATTAAGCTCAAAGTAGCAGAAATGTTCAATTTTTACCAAAGTTCAAAAGTAAACAAATCATGCTATGTGTCCAATACACGTCAACTGGTGAGTCTAATATTCTTTCGCAAGTGCGTCAATATCATTTATACCATTTTTTACACTAATGCAGTAGTTTGCATAACAGTAAATCTTCTATTTTTTATGAGAATAAAAATTCAAAGTGGAAAGCAAAAGAATGTAAGAGAGGCCTTGAGACGTGACTAATGAACAGAGGAAATGTCACTTTAGTGCCAGGAATGTCTTTCTTGTTTATTCTGGACCCTATTCAGAAATTGGCATCTTTTGAAATTTGTGTGAAATTGGCAAAATTGCTAAATTCTGACCACTGTACTGGATAGTTGAAACTGATAAATGGGGGGTTTCTTGCACTCATTCGATAGAAAAAATGGAGTTCTAGCGAAATATCCATGTTTTTTGTTGACTAGTACAGTGGAGTTGGCCGAAAATGGGGCTCAAAGTGGGCAAAATCGCCGATGCGTAAACATTGCTGAGACCGCTAACTTCGCAAGAGCATAATTCCATAAGTTTTCCATCAAATTTCAAACTTTTGGTGTCATTATGATCGGGAAAAGATTCCCTATCTTTCCATAAGAAAAAATTATTTTTTTTTTTTTTAAATTTGGCCGACCCTGAGAACGAGTCTCGGAGAGGGCCTGTCGACCCTCAAAGGGTTAAAATTAAAAACTACTAATTATAATTTTTATCACAGTGACTGCATTAAAAATCAGAATTTTTCAAGGGTAAAATTTCTTGTGGAAAAATGTAAATTTTGTACATTTTGATAATAAAATTTATGTAAGTTTGTTAATGATGCTCCAAAGGTTTCCTGTCAATTATGGGGTGCCACATTTATCATAAAAAATATTCAGTAAATGTATTGTAAATAGAAAATATTCCTTAATATGCAAAATAAAGAGGGAATTTTGCTGAAAATACATTATCTATATGTATAGTACAATTTGCTTATACTGCATGCGCATACAAAACAGAAAACAGCAGCAGTCTGTAAGCTAAATATAAAAATAAAACCTTAGTATAATGGATATAATAATAATTATTATTATAATCAAAAAGAAGCGCTAAGCCACAAGGGCTATACAGCGCTGCAGGGTAGGGAAGGAAGCGAGGGTATTGGATGGCAGAAGGGAGGAGGGATGATCAGTAGGTACGGAAAACAGCGGGGCAGGGGATAGTACGGGGGTAGAGGGTAGCAAGAGATTGAAGTAGAAAGGGCTGAAGGCATCAGAATTTGTGAAGTCAGTCAGTTGTTGTCAAAAAGTCAATGAGAGAGTTCGGATGAAAGGTGGGTCCATCAGCGAGAAGGGAAGGTAAAGAGAGAGCAGCGGAGCGTAGACGACGACGGAGGTAAATTCTGCGTGCTCGTTGATAAAGTGGGCAGTCCAACAGAATGTGGCTGACTGATAATGGAGCTTGGCAATTCTCACAGAGAGGAGCAGGGCACCTCTCCATGAAATATCCATGAGTAAGACGAGTATGGCCAATGCGAAGACGGGAGAGAATAGCCTCCCAACCTCGACACTGGTGATAAGAAGACGGCCAGTAACCTATACTCGGTTTAATAGATTGAAGTTTGTTGCCGAGCATAGTAGACCAACGTTGTTGCCAACGGGTGTGAAGGAATACCTGAATGGAATACCTCTATACAAAACTGGTAGGTCATGTACTGCTGACCGCGCAGCAGTGTCTGCCTGTTCATTGCCCTGTACGTCAATAATAATAATAATTTTATTTCAGCATGATACAATGTACAAAGATGTGTCATTTAGTTGTTCATGTAAAAAGAGCATAGTTATGCAGAGCATTTCAGACAAAATGTTTAGCCAGACAAATATTTGATGCAATGGACCAAGTCGGCTGCATTGAGACTACTTTTGGTGCAAGTGAATGTGTCCGGTGAACTCCCCATACAACGGACCAAGTAAACTGCATCAAGATTTTGTCCACGAGCAATTGTGTACGTATCTGTCCAGCGGTCTGTTGTATCGGAGATTTTGACGCAACAGATTTTCATTTAAGCACAAGGAAATAGAGATTGTAACAAAGCAGGACAAACCTCAACTTTATTTTTTATTTATTTATTTATTTATTAATTTGAACATGATACAGAGAAGTACAAGGAATAAAATTTTTAAAGTGCAGCATGCCAAAGCCCCTTGTATGTGAGCATTATGGGCAGGATTAAAATTAACTTAAGATTAACTAAGCAATGATATATTCAGTGGTACAAAAATTATTGTAAACAGATAACAATTTAGTACAAATGAGTATTACAAAGACAGGTCATATGGTCATTTACTGTGTTGCTGTGTAATCAGTAGAATAGAGTATTCTGTTAGGTAATGAAGTTAAATGGTAACAAAGTTTGATTGGGTCACAAGTTGACATTTATGAGATACAATAATGAGATACATATATGAGATACAATTTATGAGATACAATTATTCAGCATTTATTTAGTTGTGGATGAGTAAGTGATTTTTGAGAAGAGACTTGAATTTATAAACAGTGTTTCTTTTATATTCACAGGTAATGAATTCCAGATTTTAGGGCCTTTTATGTGCATTGAGTTTTTACATAGCGTGCAATGGACACGAGGAACATCAAAGAGTGATCTGTGCCTTGTGTTATGGTCGTGTGTTCTGTTGAGGTTGGTAAGATGTTTGAGAGGAGGGTTAATATCAGAGTTAAGTGTTCTATGTATGCACTATTCAATAATAGTAACAGCAATGTTGCTAGTGTTACTGATAAAAAAAGTGATAGATTGGATAACTAGGATTTTCAAGACAAGGAATGCTGAGTCAATGACAATATTAAGCAAGTTTATTTCGTACAGGAATATATAAGATTATTATAATCAAGGGGGAAGCGCGAAACCCGTAGGATTATACAGCGCCTGGGGGGGGGATGTGGAAGGCATTCAGGCTTAATTCGGGGGAACTGGAGCACAGATCCAATTCCCTAAATCAAGAGCCCCTCACCAGCATTAAGGAACCTTCCATGAGGGGAAGAATAAATAAGAACAATTATCATATCTAGTGTAAAATTATCTAGGATAACCCCCAAAAATGTCAAGTGACCTTTTCTCCATAGTAGTCATTTTATCTCCCCAGCCGAGAATATTGCTGTACATTATTGTCCTGTAGCTCAACTGCTAGTGTACTCAGCTCACACACTGAGGTCCATGGTTTGAGCCTGGTAAGGTTGGAAACACTAGGATGTGTTTCCTTAAGACACCTGCTGTCCCTGTTCACCTAGTAGTAAAACAGGTACCTGGGTATTAGTGAACTGGTGTGGGTTGCATCCTGGGAGAAAACTGACCTAATATACCCAAACTGCTCTACATAACAAGGGACTTTCTATATACGTAGTAGTACGTCACTGATGTCAGCTATGGTCTGTAGACCTTGTACATGTACTTGTAGAAATATTATTCTTATTACCGATAAGCTAGTTCAAGCACTAGCAAGCTAGTTCCAGCACTAGCTAGCTCTATCAAGCTAGCACAAGCAAGCTGGCACTAGCAAGATAGCATTAGCAAGCTAGCACTAGCAAGTTAGCATTAGCAAGCTAGCTCTAGCAAGCTAGCACTAGCAAGATAGCATTAGCAAGCTAGCTCTAGCAAGTTAGCTCTAGCAAGATAGCATTAGCAAGCTAGCACTAGCAAGATAGCATTAGCAAGCTAGCACTAGCAAGCTAGCTCTAGCAAGCTAGAACTAACAAGATAGCATTAGCAAGCTAGCACTAGCAAGTTAGCATTAGCAAGCTAGCACTAGCAAGATATCATTAGCAAGCTAGCTCTACCAAGATAGCATTAGCAAGCTAGCACTAGCAAGATAGCATTAGCAAGCTAGCACTAGCAAGATAGCATTAGCAAGCTAGCATTAGCAAGCTAGCACTAGCAAGCTAGCATTAGCAAGATAGCATTAGCAAGATAGCACTAGCAAGTTAGCATTAGCAAGCTAGCACTAGCAAGTTAGGATTTGCAAGCTAGCTCTAGCAAGCTAGCACTAGCAACATAGCATTAGCAAGCTAGCTCTAGCAAGCTAGCTCTAGCAAGATAGCATTAGCAAGCTAGCACTAGCAAGATAGCATTAGCAAGCTAGCTCTAGCAAGCTAGCACTAGCAAGATAGCATTAGCAAGCTAGCATTATCAAGCTAGCTCTAGCAAGCTAGCTCAAGCAAGATAGCATTAGCAAGCTAGCTCTAGCAAGCTAGCTCTAGCAAGATAGCATTAGCAAGCTAGAACTAGCAAGATAGCATTAGCAAGCTAGCTCTAGCAAGCTAGCACTAGCAAGATAGCATTAGCAAGGTAGCTCTAGCAAGGTAGCTCTAGCAAGATAGCATTAGCAAGCTAGCACTAGCAAGATAGCATTAGCAAGCTAGCACTAACAAGCTAGCACTAGCAAGCTAGCTCTACCAAGCTAGCACTAACAAGCTAGCACTAGCAAGATAGCATTAGCAAGCTAGCACTAACAAGCTAGCACTAGCAAGCTAGCTTTACCAAGCTAGCACTAACAAGCTAGCTTTACCAAGCTAGCACTAACAAGCTAGCAGTAGCAAGCTAGCAGTAGCAAGCTAGCACTAATAAGCTAGCACTAACAAGCTAGCACTAACAAGCTAGCTTTACCAACCTAGCACTAACAAGCTAGCAGTAGCAAGCTAGCAGTAGCAAGCTAGCACTAACAAGCTAGCACTAACAAGCTAGCTTTACCAAGCTAGCACTAACAAGCTAGCAGTAGCAAGCTAGCAGTAGCAAGCTAGCACTAACAAGCTAGCACTGACAAGCTAGCTCTAACAAGCTAGCACTAACAAGCTAGCAGTAACAAGCTAGCACTAACAAGCTAGCACTAACAAGCTAGCTCTAACAAGCTAGCTCTAACAAGCTAGCACTAACAAGCTAGCACTAACACGCTAGCTCTAACAAGCTAGCACTAAGCTAGCAGTAGCAAGCTAGCAGTAGCAAGCTAGCACTAACAAGCTAGCTCTAACAAGCTAGCACTAACAAGCTAGCACTAACAAGCTAGCACTAACAAGCTAGCAGTAGCAAGCTAGCAGTAGCAAGCTAGCACTAACAAGCTTGCAGTAGCAAGCTAGCACTAACAAGCTAGCAGTAGCAAGCTAGCACTAACAAGCTAGCACTAACAAGCTAGCAGTAGCAAGCTAGCACTAACAAGCTAGCTTTACCAAGCTAGCACTAACAAGCTAGCAGTAGCAAGCTAGCACTAACAAGCTAGCACTAACAAGCTAGCACTAAGCTAGTACTAACAAGCTAGTACTAACAAGCCAGCACTAACAAGCTAGAACTAACAAGCTAGTACTAACAAGCTAGCACTAACAAGCTAGTACTAACAAGCTAGCACTAAGCTAGCACTAACAAGCTAGCACTAACAAGCTAGAACTAACAAGCTAGCACTAACAAGCCAGCACTAACAAGCTAGCACTAACAAGCTAGTACTAACAAGCTAGCACTAACAAGCTAGCACTAACAAGCTAGCACTAACAAGCTAGTACTAACAAGCTAGCACTAACAAGCTAGCACTAAAAAGCTAGCACTAACAAGCTAGTACTAACAAGCTAGTACTAACAAGCTAGCAGTAGCAAGCTAGCACTAACAAGCTAGCACTAACAAGTTAGCACTAACAAGCTAGCAGTAGCAAGCTAGCAGTAGCAAGCTAGCACTAACAAGCTAGCAGTAGCAAGCTAGCACTAACAAGCTAGCACTACCAAGCTAGCACTAACAAGCTAGCACTAACAAGCTAGCTCTAACAAGCTAGCACTAACAAGCTAGCAGTAACAAGCTAGCACTAACAAGCTAGCACTAACAAGCTATCAGTAGCAAGCTAGCTCTAACAAGCTAGCACTAACAAGCTAGCACTAACAAGCTAGTACTAACAAGCCAGCACTAACAAGCCAGCACTAACAAGCTAGTACTAACAAGCTAGTACTAACAAGCTAGTACTAACAAGCTAGCACTGACAAGCTAGTACTGACAAGCTAGCACTGACAAGCTAGTACTGACAAGCTAGCACTAACAAGCTAGCACTAACAAGCTAACACTAAGCTAGTACTAACAAGCTAGTACTAACAAGCCAGCACTAACAAGCTAGCACTAACAAGCTAGTACTAACAAGCTAGCACTAACAAGCTAGTACTAACAAGCTAGTACTAAGCTAGCACTAACAAGCTAGCACTAACAAGCTAGAAACAAGCTAGCACTAACAAGCTAGAACTAACAAGCTAGCACTAACAAGCCAGCACTAACAAGCTAGCACTAACAAGCTAGTACTAACAAGCTAGCACTAACAAGCTAGCACTAACAAGCTAGCACTAACAAGCTAGTACTAACAAGCTAGCACTAACAAGCTAGCACTAAAAGCTAGCACTAACAAGCTAGTACTAACAAGCTAGTACTAACAAGCTAGCACTAACAAGCCAGCACTAACAAGCTAGCACTAACAAGCTAGTACTAACAAGCCAGCACTAACAAGCTAGTACTAACAAGCTAGCACTAAGCTAGTACTAACAAGCTAGTACTAAGCTAGTACTAACAAGCTAGAACAAGCTAGTACTAACAAGCTAGTACTAACAAGCTAGCACTAACAAGCTAGTACTATCAGGCTAGCACTAACAAGCTAGCACTAACAAGCTAGTACTAACAAGCTAGCACTAACAAGCTAGCACTAACAAGCTAGTACTAACAAGCTAGCACTAACAAGCTAGCAGTAACAAGCTAGCACTAACAAGCTGCATAACAAGCTAGCACTAACAAGCTAGCTCTAACAAGCTAGCACTAACAAGCTAGCACTACCAAGCTAGCAGTAACAAGCTAGCACTAACAAGCTAGCACTAACAAGCTAGTACTAACAAGCTAGCACTAACAAGCTAGCTCTAACAAGCTAGCACTAACAAGCTAGTACTAACAAGCTAGCACTAACAAGCTAGCTCTAACAAGCTAGCACTAACAAGCTAGCACTAACAAGCTAGCACTAACAAGCTAGCAGTAACAAGCTAGTACTAACAAGCTAGCTCTAACAAGCTAGCACTAACAAGCTAGCACTAACAAGCTAGCACTAACAAGCTAGCACTAACAAGCTAGCAGTAACAAGCTAGCACTAACAAGCTAGCTCTAACAAGCTAGCACTAACAAGCTAGCACTAACAAGCTAGCAGTAACAAGCTAGCAGTAACAAGCTAGCAGTAACAAGCTAGCACTAACAAGCTAGCTCTAACAAGCTGCACTAACAAGCTGCACTAACAAGCTAGCTCTAACAAGCAGCACTAACAAGCTAGCACTAACAAGCTAGCAGTAACAAGCTAGCAGTAACAAGCTAGCACTAACAAGCTAGCTCTAACAAGCTAGCACTAACAAGCTAGCACTAACAAGCTAGCAGTAACAAGCTAGCACTAACAAGCTAGCACTAACAAGCTAGCACTAACAAGCTAGCAGTAACAAGCTAGCAGTAACAAGCTAGCACTAACTAGTCGTGGGTTCGACCTTCCGGATGGACGCTGAAGACTTCAGGAGAGAGCAGCAACACCGTATGGGCGGACTATTCCGCCTAGTACACAACTCCGGCTAGTACATCAACCTGGGATAACTTCATTGGATTATTCTAGATTAAATTATTCACAATTTACAATGTATGAAATTTATTAAGTCGAAAAATTATGTAAATGGATTACCTGGTGCTCCCAGCCAGCCATGACAGCTGCTGCTGCTGCTGTCTGGTGTTGGGGCTGTAGGGGCCAGGGACGGCTCTCAGACTGTAGGGGCCAGGGACGGCTCTCGGACTGTAGGGGCCAGGGACGGCTCTCGGACTGTAGGGGCCAGGGACGGCTCTCGGACTGTAGGGGCCAGGGACGGCTCTCGGACTGTAGGGGCCAGGGACGGCTCTCAGACTATAGGGGCCAGGGACGGCTCTCGGACTGTAGGGGCCAGGGACGGCTCTCAGACTGTAGGGGCCAGGGACGGCTCTCGGACTGTAGGGGCCAGGGACGGCTCTCGGACTGTAGGGGCCAGGGACGGCTCTCGGACTGTAGGGGCCAGGGACGGCTTTCGGACTGTAGGGGCCAGGGACGGCTCTCGGACTGTAGGGGCCAGGGACGGCTCTCGGACTGTAGGGGCCAGGGACGGCTCTCGGACTGTAGGGGCCAGGGACGGCTCTCGGATTGTAGGGGCCAGGGACGGCTCTCATACTGTAGGGGCCAGGGACGGCTCTCGGACTGTAGGGGCCAGGGACGGCTCTCGTACTGTAGGGGCCAGGGACGGCTCTCAGACTGTAGGGGCCAGGGACGGCTCTCGGACTGTAGGGGCCAGGGACGGCTCTTGGACTGTAGGGGCCAGGGACGGCTCTCGAAGTACGTAGGCAAGTAGGTGGGTACGTAGGTGGGTAGGTAGGTAAGCAGGTGGGTAGGTAGGTAGGTAAGTAGGTGGGTGCGTAGGTGGGTAGGTAGGTAAGTAGGTAGGTAGGTAAGTAGGTGGGTACATAGGTGGGTAGGTAGGTAAGTAGGTGGGTAGGTAGGTAGGTAAGTAGGTGGGTACATAGGTGGGTAAGTAGGTAGATGGGTAGGTAAGCAGGTGGGTATGCAGGTAAGTAGGTGGGTAGGTAAGTAGGTGGATAAGTAGATGGGTATGTAGTAGGTGGGTAGGTAGGTAAGTAGGTAGGTATGTAAGTAGGTAGATGGGTAGGTAAGCAGGTGGGTAAGTAGGTGGATAAGTAGATGGGTATGTAGGTAAGTAGGTAGATGGGTAGGTATGTAAGTAGGTAGATGGGTAGGTAAGCAGGTGGGTACGTAGGTAAGTAGGTGGATAAGTAGATGGGTATGTAGGTAAGTAGGTAGGTGGGTAGGTAGGTAAGTAGGTGGGTAGGTAGGTAAGTAGGTAGGTTGGTAGGTAAGCAGGGGTAAGTAGGTAGGAAAGTAGGTGGGTAGATAGGTTAGTGGGGTAGGTAGGTAAGTAGGTTGGTAGATAGGTAAGTAGGCTTACCTGGAGATGGTTTTGGGGGTCAACGCTCCCGCGGCCCAGTCTGAGACCAGGCCTCATGGTGGATCAGGGTCTGATCAACCAGGCTGTTACTGCTGGCCGCACGCAAGCTGACGTACGAACCACAGCCCGGTTGGTCAGGTACTGACTTTAGGTGCCTGTCCAGTGCCTTCTTGAAGACAGCCAGGTGTCTATCGGTAATCCCCCTTATGTATGCTGGGAGGCAATTGAACAGTCTTGGGCCCTGGACACTTATTGTGTTGTCTCTCAGTGTACTCGTGGCGCCCCTGCTTTTCATCGGGGGAATGTTGCATCTCCTGCCGAGTCTTTTGCTTTCATATGGAGTGATTTTCGTGTGCAGGTTTGGTACCAATCCCTCCTGGACCTTCCAAGTGTATATTATCATGTATCTCTTTCGCCTGCATTCAAGGGAATACAGATCAAGGGCCTTCAACCGTTCCCAGTAGTTTACCTGGAGTTTACCTGGAGAGAATTTCGGGGGTCAACGCCCCCGCGGCCCGGTCTGTGACCAGGCCTCCTGGTGGATCAGAGCCTGATCAACCAGGCTGTTACTGCTGGCTGCACGCAAACCAACGTACGAGCCACAGCCCGGCTGGTCAGGTACCGACTTTAGGTGCTTGTCCAGTGCCAGCTTGAAGACTGCCAGGGGTCTATTGGTAATCCCCCTTATGTATGCTGGGAGGCAGTTGAACAGTCTTGGGCCCCTGACACTTATTGTATGGTCTCTTAAAGTGCTAGTGACACCCCTGCTTTTCATTGGAGGGATGTTGCATCGTCTGCCAAGTCTTTTGCTTTATCGCACTTATGTGTGCCGTGAAAGTTCTTTGTACACTCTCCAGGTCTGCAATGTCACCAGTAGTTAGTGTACAGCAGTATTCCAGCCTAGAGAGCACAAGCGATTTGAAGAGGTTCATCATGGGCTTGGTGTCCCTAGTTTTGAAGGTTCTCACTATCCATCCTATAATTTTCCTAGCGGATAAGGTAGACACATTGTTGTGGTCTTTGAAGGTGAGATCCTCTGACATTATCACTCCCAGGTCCTTCACATTACTCTTCCGCTCTATTGTATGGTTAGAATTTGTGGTATACCCTGACACATTTTTAATTTCTTCAAGTTTTCCATATCTGAGGAGTTGAAATTTCTACTCGTTGAACTTCATATTGTTTTGAGTGGCCCATTCGAAGGTTTGGTTGATGTCCGCTTGGAGTCTCGCAGTGTCTTCGATGGAGATCACTGCCATGGTGATCCGGGTGTCATCCACAAAGGAAGACACGGAGCTATGGCTTACACCTCTGTCTATGTCAGAAATGAGGATGAAGAATAGAATGGTAGCGAGTACTGTGCCTTGTGGAACAGAGCATTTTATCATGGCTGCCTGGGACTTTACTCTGTTTACTATTACTCTTTGTGTTCTATATGTCCGGAAGTTGTAAATCCATCTACCAAATTTTCCCGTTATTTCTTTATCCCGCATTTTGTGTGCTATTACACCATGGTCAAACTTGTCGAAAGCTTTTGCAAAGTCTGTGTATACTACATCTTTATTTTGTTAATCTTCTACAGCATCCTGGACCTTGTCATAGTGGTCCAGTAGCTGGGACAGGCAGGAGCGACCTGCTCTAAACCCGTGTTGCCCTGGGTTGTGTAACTGATGGGCATCTAGGTGGTTGGCTATCTTGCTTCTTAGAGCCCTCTCAAAATTTTTTGTGATGTGGGATGTTAGGAAAATCCTAGAGGGACTAGTACCGAACTTGCACACGAAAATCACTCACTACGAAAGCAAAAGACTTGGCAGACGGTGCACCATCCCCCCAATGAAAAGCAGGGGTGTCACTAGCACGTTAAGAGACCATACAATAAGTGTCAGAGGCCCAAGACTGTTCAACTGCCTCCCAGCACACATAAGGGGGATTACCAACAGACCCCTGGCAGTCTTCAAGCTGGCACTGGACAAGCACCTAAAGTCAGTTCCGGATCAGCCGGGCTGTGGCTCGTACGTTGGTTTGCGTGCAGCCAGCAGCAACAGCCTGGTTGATCAGGCTCTGATCCACCAGGAGGCCTGGTCACAGACCGGGCCGCGGGGGCGTTGACCCCCGGAACTCTCTCCAGGTAAACTCCAGGTATCGGTCTGTAGTTCTTTGCAATTGCTTTATTGCCACCTTTGTGGAGTGGGGCTATATCTGTTGTTTTTAGTGAGTGTGAGATGACCCCTGTGTCCATGCTCCCTCTCCATAAATTTCTGAAGGCACGCGATAGGAGCTTCTTGCAGTTCCTGATGAACACGGAGTTCCATGAGTCTGGGTCTGGGATAGAGTGCATGGGCATGTCATTAATTCCCTCTTCAAAATCTTGTGAAGTTATAATAATATCCAAGAGTTTTGGGATGACCAAATTTTGGGTTTTGTTCATGAATAATTCATATGGATTGTCGACCCTTAGTCTGGGCAGTGGCTGGCTGAACACTGAGTCATATTGGGCCATTAGTATCTCACTCATTTCTTGGCTGTCATCTGTGTATGTCACATCCCGCCTAAGCAACGGCGCAATACTGGATGTTGTTTTACCCTTAGATTTGGCATAAGAAAAGAAGTAGTTTGATTTTTTGTATTCAATTTCCTTTATGGCTTTTAGTTCTTCATGTGATTCTTGTCTCCTATAAGATTCCTTCAGCTTAAGTTCGATATTTGCAATTTCATTGACTAGTGCCTCCCTTCGTATTTCAGATATATTGACCCCACTCATCAGCTCTGTGACTTCGTCTGTATAGCGAACGTCTCTCTCTTTCTAGTTGACATCTCTTTCTTTTTCTTAACGGAATGTGCCTTGAGCAGATCTCAAGAACCACAGAATTCATTTTTTGAAGGCAGATGTTCGGATCTGTGTCGTTTAGGAAACCTTCCCAGCTGGTTTTATTTAGGACATGATTTACTTGGTCTCATTGTATGATTTTGTTATTAAAATTGAATTTCATGAAGAGACCTTCATGACTGCTCACATTTTGCTGGTCCGGAGCCCTGTGCATACATGTCTGTACCTCTTCAGGTCACTTGTTCTGTCTAGGCTGGAATATTGCTGCACACTAACAGCACCTTTCAAGGCAGGTGAAATTGCTGACCTAGAAAATGTACAGAGAACCTTCACGGCGCGCATAACGGAGATAAAACACCTCAATTACTGGGAGCGCTTGAGGTTCCTAAACCTGTATTCCCTGGAATGCAGGCGGGAGAGATACATGATTATATACACCTGGAAAATCCTAGAGGGTCTAGTACCGAACTTACACACGAAAATCACTCACTACGAAAGCAAAAGACTTGGCAGACGATGCAACATCCCCCCAATGAAAAGCAGGGGTGTCACTAGCACGTTAAGAAACCATACAATAAGTGTCAGGGGCCCGAGACTGTTCAACTGCCTCCCAGCACACATAAGGGGGATTACCAACAGACCCCTGGCAGTCTTCAAGCTGGCACTGGACAAGCACCTAAAGTCGGTTCCTGACCAGCCGGGCTGTGGCTCGTACGTTGGTTTGCGTGCAGCCAGCAGTAACAGCCTGGTTGATCAGGCTCTGATCCACCAGGAGGCCTGGTCACAGACCGGGCCGCGGGGGCGTTGACCCCCGGAACTCTCTCCAGGTAAACTCCAGGTATGATACCCTGATAATCTGATACTGAGTGAACCCTCGGTACCATGCCCATGAAGCTATACTGCTACTACTAGTCTACTACTACTACTACTACTACTACTACTAATAATAATAATAATAATAATATTATTATTATTATTATTATTATTTTTATTCTTATTATCATTATGTAGGAATATGTACTTAATATGTATCTGCCAAACTTCCTGTATTGTTCATGTCATCTCTGTACCAGAAATGTAGCTTTTAAATCTTTTGCATCATATTATGTAATAAAATATACCTATTGTTAAAAAAATGTAAAGATGGAGTAATTAAGATTATTCAGGTATACACAAATACAGTTAGAGGTATACACAAATACAGGCATTGACTTATTTCCATTGGAGTCCGTTTAATACATCATTATTATTATTATACTGTAAAGGAGATAATATCTTATTATCATAATATAAAGGAGATATATCAGGAATAGGGTAAAATTAGTTATTCATATTTTTACATATGTGTTAGCTAAAAAAATAGAAAATCATTCTCCCCCCTTTCTGTAGCTACATTCATCAGGCACCTTCTGGCACTCTTCTTGAACTGGTTCATGCTATGACTGGCTTTGACATGTACAGGCAGTCTGTTCCATTACTTTATTGCTGTACAATAAAAGGTGTTTGAAACCTGGTCACTGACTGTGAGTACTACAGTTGTGTTCTCTCCCCATATGATTGCTTTGGTTCTCGACCTTGACAAAATTGACAGCAAAATATTCTGGATACTGTGAGCAATTTTATAAACTTGATTTAACTTCAGTTGTTTTACTCTGTCTTCAACATTCAGCATATCCAGGTATTTAGTCACTTTGTATTTAGTCAACTTACTCCACAATTTGTAATAATTTAGGGCTAAGAATTAATCTAAATTTGCCCTAAATGCCTAGCCTTGCTAGGTGTTCTAGTGGCCCCCTTTGTAATTAGTATTTTATTACATGTAAACCACACAATAACCAAAATCTGTAAACCCCACATTGTAACCCTTATAGAGAATAAACTTCGATTTGATTTGATTTGATTATAATTCATCCTGGCCTACATGTTCTCTTGGACTCAGGTCCAGGATGATCTTATTTTGTTCTGGCTGATTTGTAGTCTATCTTTCAGTTTTTTTTATCAAGGCAGAGTACCATGAAGACCAAGAGTAGTTTATAATACATTGTAAAATATATATATATATTTTTTTTTTTGAGATTTTGCCACTGAAGTGGCGACCGAGTTTTAAAATTCTGCTCAAAAGACTCAGAATGCTCAAAATCCTTCCCTTGGCTTCCCATTGGCTAATTTCTCGTCACTTTGAACCAATGCAAAATCCCGTAGTAAAACAGAAGGAAGTCCCCGCCTGTCATTGGTGGAAAGTGTCTGATATCAGCCAATAGTAGTAGAGTTAAGTAATGGGTGTGTTGTTGACAACAAGTGAAGGAGGAAGATGAAGAGGAGGATGATGGAGGATGATTATTGTGACTCTCTCTCTCCTCCAGGTCATTAATACACCGGTATACTTGTGTATTGTACCTCAGCATGTCTGTCTGTTAAATACCACAACACCTGTCTATTATATATCATTATACGTGTGTATCATACGTCATGATACTTGTGTATCATGCGTCATTTTATGTATCGTACACCATTATACATGTGTATTATACACCATTATACATGTGTATCATACACCATTATACATGTGTATCATACACCATTATACATGTGTATCATACACCATTGTACATGTGTATCATACACCATTATACATGTGTATCATACACCATTATAGATGTGTATCATACACCATTATACATGTGTATCATACACCATTATACATGTGCATCATACACCATTATACATGTGTATCATACACCATTATACATGTTTATCATACACCATTATACATGTTTATCATACACCATTATACATGTTTATCATACACCATTATACATGTATCATACACCATTATACATGTGTATCATACACCATTATACATGTGTATCATACACCATTATACATGTTTATCATACACCATTATACATGTTTATCATACACCATTATACGTGTATCATACACCATTATACATGTATCCTACACCATTATACATGTGTATCATACACCATTATACATGTGTATCATACACCATTATACATGTGTATCATACACCATTATACATGTATCATACACCATTATACATGTGTATCATACACCATTATACATGTGTATCATACACCATTATACATGTGTATCATACACCATTATACGTGTATCATACACCATTATACGTGTATCATACACCATTATACATGTGTATCATACACCATTATACATGTGTATCATACACCATTATACATGTATCATACACCATTATACATGTGTATCATACACCATTATACATGTGTATCATACACCATTATACGTGTATCATACACCATTATACGTGTATCATACACCATTATACGTGTGTATCATGCACCATTATACGTGTGTATCATGCACCATTATACATGTGTATCATACCATTATACATGTGTACCATACACCATTATACGTGTATCATACACCATTATACATGTATCATACACCATTATACATGTGTATCATGCACCATTATACATGTGTATCATGCACCATTATACATGTGTATCATGCACCATTATACATGTGTATCATGCACCATTATACATGTGTGTATCATACACCATTATACATGTGTGTATCATACACCATTATACATGTGTGTATCATACACCATTATACATGTGTGTATCATACACCATTATACATGTGTGTATCATGCACCATTATACATGTGTGTATCATACACCATTATACATGTGTGTATCATACACCATTATACATGTGTATCATACACCATTATACATGTGTGTATCATACACCATTATACATGTGTGTATCATACACCATTATACATGAGTGTATCATACACCATTATACATGAGTTCATACACCATTATACATGTGTATCATACAGCAAAATACATCATACGTGTGTATCATACACCAAAATGCATTGTGTGTGTGTATTATACACCAGAATACATCATACACGTGTATCATAGAACATCATACATATACATATATACAGGGGTGCTGGGGGGGTCCAGAATCATCCCTTCATTATTTTATGCAATTTCAATGAAATTTATATATTTTTGTTATCTTTTGTACAGTTTTGTTACTTTAATATACAATTTTGTTAATACAGCCTTTCCTCACTTAGCGACGTACTTGTTTACCGCTGACTCGGAATTACGACTGGCGCTCTAACCATTATGCATACTTAAATAATATATATTAGAGCTGATTTCCACTACAGTGGACCCCCGCATAGCGAACTTAATCCGTGCAAGAGGGCTGGTCGTTATGCGAAATGTTCGCTATGCGAATTAATTTTCCCCATAAGAAATATTTTTTTTATTTTTTTTATTATCACACCGGCCGATTCCCACCAAGGCAGGGTGGCCCGAAAAAGAAAAACTTTCACCATCATTCACTCCATCACTGTCTTGCCAGAAGGGTGCTTTACACTACAGTTTTTAAACTGCAAGACCCCCAAAAGTATGAAAAAAAAATTTTTTTACCACAAAAAAATGTTAATTTTAGTACACACAAACTGAAAAAGGCATGCACAATTACATGACACTTACTTTTATTGAAGATCTGGTGATGATTGATGGGATGGGAGGAGGGGAGAGAGAGTGTTAGTGTTTAGAAGAGGAATCCCCTTCCATTAACACTTGAGGAGGCAAGTCCTTTTCCGGGGTTACTTCCCTTCTTCTTTTAATGCCACTAGGACCAGCTTCAGAGTCACTGGACTTCTTTCTGTCCATAGAGCTCTGTACCTCCCGTTCCTTTACGATTTGTCTAAAATGGGCCATAACATTGTCATTGAAATAGTCACCAGCACGCCTTGCAACAGCTGTGTCAGGGTGATTTTCATCCATAAAGGTTTGCAGTTCAACCCACTGTGCACACATTTCCTTAATTTTTGAAGTAGGCACAATGGATTCCACAACTGGCATAGGCTTCTCAGGGTTAGCCCCAAACCCTTCAAAATCTTTCTTAATTTCCATACTAATTCTCACCCTTTTTACCACAGGGTTGGCACTAGAAGCTTTCTTGGGGCCCATGGTCACTTATTTTCAACAAACAGAACCGAAAACACTGTAATAATACGAAATATTCCGAGTGTATGCTTGAATGTTACCGCGGAGGCTAGCTGGTAAACAATGGGACAGGCGGCACATGTGAGGCTGGCTGAGGCCGCACATTGGACGCGTCTCGGACGAAGTTCGCTGAGCGGTGTTTTTGTCTACTATGCGGGGCAAAATTTTAGCGATCAAAGCGTTCGCTATGCGGAATGTTCGCTATGCAAGGCGTTCGCTATGCGGGGGTCCACTGTATTCTGTTTATTTCAATATACAGTACACTACTGTGTAAACATTTAAAAATGTATACTAAAAATGTTATAAAATGTGCAAAGGTGACGTTACAACAACATCAAAGATGGTTGACACAGACCCACTACCATTATACTATACTCGTTACTTAGCGACGAATTTGTTTACTGACGTGGTTTTTAGGAACGGAACTCCAGCGTTAAGTGAGGAGAGACTGTATTTATTGTTTCGTTACTTTTTATAAATTTTTTTTATTTTCATAGTTTCATTAATTTTTATATAATTTCATTATCTTTTTACATGTTTTCATTACTTTTTATACAATTTCGTTACATTTTATGCAGTTTCATTACTTTTTATACAGTTTTGTTACGTTTTACACAGTTTCATTACTTTTTACAGTTTCATTACGTTTTGCACAGTTTCATTACTTTTTACACAGTTTCATTACTTTTTACACAGTTTTGTTACTTTTAAACAGTTTCTTTTATTATACACTTTTGTTAATTTTTATACAATTTCATCAATTTTTATTAAATTTTGTAACTTTCCAGTTTCATTACTTTTTACACATCATCATTATTTTTACACAATTTCACTTCTTTCTATACAATTTCATATAGAAAGATAGTTAAGACAAAAAATAGTTTAGACAAATATTTCTCTAGGTGGTTGGATTTGAGAAGGTCCGTTTCAGTGTTCCTCCTCTATTGAGTTCTTGTGTAGTATTAGCAGCAGAGACTATGTGATGACAGGGTTTACTGTTTTGAGGAGGACTTTTGCCATCACATAGTCTCTGCTGCTAATACAGTGGACCCCCGCTTTACGATCACCTCCCAATGCGACCAATTATGTAAGTGTATTTATGTAAGTGCGTTTGTACGTGTATGTTTGGGGGTCTGAAATGGACTAATCTAATTCACAATATTCCTTATGGGAACAAATTCATTCAGTAATGGCACCAGAACATGCTTCTGGAATGAAATAATATCGTAAGCCGGGGTTCCACTGTACTACACAAGAACATAACAGAGGAACACTGAAACAGACCTTTTCAAATCAAACCGCCTACAGAAATATTTGTCTAAACTATTTTTATGCTACCCAAACAATAGCCTCTATAACCTTTTACTCATGTGCAAGTTGATTGTTCTACCATATTGTATTACTACTACAACTGATATTACTACTACCTCCAGTATTACACCTCACTCTAGGTCTATTTTACCCTCTGTGTCCATGTATTGTTTGTAATGGCTTGATAAAGCTCCTGGAGAGCGAAACGGTGCCACAATAAAATGTCACATTAGTTGCACTTGTGTCCTTTTACTGAACATATTGTCGGTAATTCTACTAATAATAATACCAAATGAATTTATTTACGTATTTACTCATGGCCCACATTGGCAGCAGCAAATGATGGCTTACTTGTGCTCACTCAGTGGTCTGAGAGTTATTTATTGTTATTATGAACTCATTACTGTTAGGTTGAGTAAAAGGAAGTTTGCTTACTTTACACTGCACATTACAGGGAAGCCGAGCAAGACAGATGAGGAATGAAGGAGAAGCTTGTAGACGATGTCTTTAATCCGCATCAGAGGTCGCACCATTCTTGCCCCAATTGTGAGTACTATTGTAATTGCCTCATAGTAGCTCCAAGAGTAGAGCTATGCTCATGGCGTCCTTCAGTAATTTTGCCAAAGTTTCCAATGGTTGTACCACTTACTATCCCCTCTTCATTTATTCCATTGATCTACAGTGCTGACAAAAACTTTCTAGTGGTTTTTACTCAGTGTACAAGCATGGTCTCTTGTTACTCCTGTTGCAGCAGCTACTGTATGCACAAACTTTCATCTTTCATGTCCTTCTATGACATATTTGGTTATCGCGTCTTCTCTCTTCGTGCTATTAGTCAATATGTGCAGCTTTATATATTTAGCTTTTCAGTGTAACTCATGGCTCTAGTAGCCTTTTTCTACCTTATTAAATAAATGGATGCAGATTCAACTAATGTGACATTTTACTGTGGTAATGTTTCTCTCTCCAGGAACTTTGTCAAGACGTTAACAGCTTGAAGCTCCTGGAGTGTGAAACATTGCCACAATAAAATGTCACTTTAGTTGCATCTGTACCCATTTACTACACAACCACTGCATATTCCAATTTGTTTGTAGTCATACACTCGGTAAATAGCTCTTACAGCTACACTGATATATTATTGTAGAGTTTTTAATTATGAAAATTATAGAATATTAAGCTTAAGTGCACTCCTTGTTATGCACTACTTTGTGAAATCATTTTGTGCATTTCCTGAATAATGCTTATTTTACTTGAACTTTTGGTCTCTGGCCTGAATAAGAATTTGACACAATTGTTGGCATTGAATGTAATATAGGTTATCTATAGATAGGAACTTGGTCTTGTTACTGTTCTCACTTAACCAAGCTAAAGATTTGAACTAGCTAAGCATGCAGGGTGGAGAGTTTTTTTGTACATTTAACAATAGACTTGCCCTGATGCTGTTATTTCTAGAATTTTGTGGAAGCATTGCTTTAGCAATTGAGGTTAACACATTTGTTTCCATGTTAATTTTTATTAACTCAGGACAGGCACTATATGACTCTTATGGGATCAGTGCTTCTCCTTGAAAATAAAAATATAAATCATCTATTCAGCTGTTGTTGTTGTTGTTGTTGAAGGGTAATAAAAAGCTGAGGTAACCCACTTCTAGTTGATTCAGCTGATGCCATAACAACAGTAATATAATAGATGCCATAACCTAAAATATAAATGATACAGGGTTAAAATTATGTCTTCTTCAGTCATGTGCTACTGGATTAACATTAACTGCTTTCAGTCCTCAATACCCAACATTAACCCTTAAACGGTCCAAGCAGATCTACGTTCACATGTGTAGTGCTACAAAAGTAGATCTACGTTTTTTTACATATTTTCAAATCTAACAAAAAAAAAAAAGTAGATTAAAGTTTTTTACACATTTTCAAATGTAAAAAAACAAAAAGAAGATCTACTTTTTTTACATTCAAATGTTGAGAAAACGTATATACGTATACGTTTGGACCGTTTACGAGTTAACAGACCTCGATTTAATGGATTTCAGAAATATGGGGCAAAATTCATTGGGTCAGTTGATTCTGAAACTACAAACAAAATCCATTGGTTACAGACTTGAATATTATTATGATCACAACAAAATAACCTCATTTCTGTTCATCACACTCACCATTACCATCCAGCTGTTCCTCTTTCCCTCCCCCTTCCCTATTAGTCTGTTTAATGAAGGTTTTACTATAATAATATTGACACAACATCTGTATACACAATGTGTGGTCACATCAGTTATATATTTATCTCTTGTGACCTCTCCTCTTTCAAGGCTAACTGGATAAGAACTACTCAAGGTTAAAATGTGTAAGAGCAAGTTTAAGGGATGTAAAAGTATTGTTGGCACATACTTTCCACTCATTTATCCATTGGGGCTATGAGAGAAAGGAAGCATCTGGCTTGGTTATACAAGTACCTGTGGTGGAGGCTGTTGTCTGTTAAGTTATTGATGTAGTGGAAAGCTGAAATGCTAAGATAAAAGATTGTGAAGGGAAAGAAAATGCTTTTAAGTTTACTTGACAAGATGGGAGTGCAAACATTAGGTGAAAGGGTGATTTAACTTACTCATGAGATTGTAAAGCCTTTAGACAGAAATGAGATAGAGGCTGGGTATTATACACAGGCTACCACATATATGGTAATTGCTTTGATGGGCAGTAACACAACAGAATAATACATATTTTCATCCACCATTGCCATATTGTTCAACAAATTATTAGAAACAAACACATTTCTGACAGTGCTTAAGACAGCAAGGGTTACCCCAGTACACAAAGTTGGGGACCCAACCAGTGTAAATAACTATTAACCTATAACTTACCATTGTTATCCCAAATCTTCGACAAAATTAATCCACAAGAAATTGTCCTTTTTTTCTAAAGTCACACAATATAATCATCCCCAGCCAGTTTGCTTCTAGAACAAATAAAAACACAAATGATGCAGTTATAAAAATAACACTTCCTTTATTCAGCTATTGAGAATAATGAATATTCACTGGGCTTCTTTATAGACCTTAGGAAAGCTTTTGATATAGGAGACTGTGGCATCCTGCATCTTAAACATTATGTTATCAGAGGTTATTCATTTTATCTGAAGTCCTACCTTAACAACAGACACCAATATGTCTCCATCATGGGCATAACCTTGTCGGTGCAACTGATCACCCAGTCTAGTACCAGGCAACACACCCACTCTTCAAAAGTCTAAACTTAATTAATATATGCAATAAGATCACAGTAAACAGGTGATATTACAATATGCAGAACAACCACTGTGAAAAATTAGTGAAATTCCAAATGCTTTCGTGACTTTTCACATTATCAAGGAACTATATAGTAGTATAAAGAATTTACTCATACTACTTGTGCATACTACATATACAGGACAGTCAATTCTAATATCAATCCTGTCCTGAAACTCTTTCTTGATAGCTGCAACAGGACTCATAGGCATAATATTAGACACAAATATCTCTTCGTGATATTCCCCATGTCCGACTCATCCTGAATAAAAACTAGATTGCATAAAAGGACCTAAAAATTTGGACCTCTGTGCCTAAAGATTATATTAACACTGGTGTTAAGGCTGCCTTCAGTGCCTTGCATAACAAGGGGCTTTCTATTAAGTAGTTTACATACGTAAGTTACCTTAATTGTATGCTGTATAGTACTTCACTTTATAGAAATGAAGTTTTTGTTTGTTACTGTCATTTGTAAGGTATTTGAATTTTAAGTTAGGAGGGTGGAGGATGAGTAGGTTTTGTGCTTAATGTTAAAGACAGACAGGTAAATATATGAGCATTACATGTGTTTTTTTGTTGACATGATCATGAAAGAGAAAACAGTATAAAGAAATATTTCAGCTTAGTGAAGAAGAGCGGGTGGAGGCCCGAGCACTACGCGACCAGGCAGTACAATTCCAGCACGAACGACAGCGGTTACAGAAGCAACAAGCTCCACGCTGCACAAACTGCCACCATCAACTAAACAACCATCATAATACATGGGTGAGAGTACTGCCTTACAATGGGAAGAGTACACTAAAGACATTATTAGAAAATTGGAGACACAGCAGTTCAGTACAGTAAATTGTAGTTAAATCTTTAAAGAAGCCAATGGTTTAATGACAAGGTTTTGAGGCAGTTTTAATGAGATATTAAAAGACTTGTTATGAGGATCTTGATCCAGAGGAGTGGACTTGACCTTCCCATCTTCGGATCAAACCTGATTGCTATCCATTTTTCATGCGCTGTACGACCCCTGTGAACTTAACACTTCCACCCTGATTATAATAATAATAATTTATTGTTGGTGCCAAAACAGTCTTTATATCTTTTGTGGTATTTTTTTTTATGATCTTGTATGCAGTCACTTTTTCATGTCTCCGCTTTGCCTATAAATTTTTTTTGTCAGAATTGTCAGTCTGTTTGGAATTTGTATTCCTTTAGTTTTTTTTTATAGCTATACAGGAGAGCCCCCTTTGTGCGATGAGTAAAAATTGCTGGTGGGTGGAAAAGTTTTTTTTTTCATTATCAAATGTGTCTAAAAAGTGCTTACACTATCATATATTAAGTGCTCAACATAGCTAGGCATAAAAAAAGTAAAAAAAAGAAAAAAAATGCACAGTACTGTACATACATTGGGGAAGGACAAAGAAGACTGCAGACACAGTATAGTCTAGATGGCCAAAGACTGCACACCTCACTCAAGGAAAAAGATCTGGGGGTGAGTATAACACCGAGCACATCTCCTGAGGCGCGCATCAATCAGATAACTGCTGCAGCGTACGGGCGTCTGGCAAACCTAAGGATAGCGTTCCAATACCTTAGTAAGGAATCGTTCAAGACTCTGTACACCATTTATGTCAGGCCCATACTGGAGTATGCAGCACCAGTTTGGAATCCACACCTGGTCAAGCACGTCAAGAAATTAGAGAAAGCGCAAAGGTTTGCATCAAGACTAGTCCCAGAGCTAAGGGGATTGTCCTACAAAGAAAGGTTAAGGGAAATTTGCCTGACGACACTGGAGGACAGGAGGGTCAGGGGAGACATGATAACGACGTATAAAATACTACGCAGAATAGAAGAGGTGGACAAAGACAGGATGTTCCAGAGATGGGACACAGAAACAAGAGGTCACAATTGGAAGTTGAAGACTGAGATGAATCAACAGGGTGTTAGGAAGTATTTCTTCATTCATAGAGTTGTCGGGCCGTGGAATAGTCTAGAAAGTGACGTAGTTGAGGCAGGAGCCATACATAGTTTTAAGACGAGGTTTGATAAAGCTCATGGAGCTGGGAGAGAGAGAGAGGACCTAGTAACAATCAGTGTAGAGGCGGGGCCAGGAGCTATGACTCGACCCCTGCAACTACAAATACGTGAGTACAAATTGGTGAGTACAATACTTACCTTAAAATACAGTGCTGGTCACCATGGTATGGCTGTATTTTTTAAATTTTTGTTGAACATGCTCATGTGAAGAGCACTTATTGAATTTTGCCATTCATTTGTATGTAGGCTGTTTTGAAATCAGTCATTGTAAAATGAATTTCTGTTTCATTAATGTGATCTTAGGGGGACATTCTCTGTAATTACTCATGACACTTTATTAAATGCTTTTTGTATTTTATCCAATTTCCTCTCATGGTCATTCATCACTTTCTTCCAGTTCCATTCCACAAAACCTATCTAAATTAAATTACATTATCTCTCTGTTGCTTTATTTGGTAAATTGATTTTTTTGTATGGAGGAGGAGGGAAGGTCAGGGGGCATTTGCAGTCTTCTTTTGTTACTCTGTACATTGTGTGCCCCTTGTTGCTTTTCTTTAAATGTTGGGTAGTGGACAAGTTTCCACTTGTGGGAGGTTTTCCATTTTTTGAAAATTTTCTCAGGAATTTACTATGATTACACTTCCTTAGTAATGTAACGGTATTATGTTACTTGACTGTCTTGTAGTTGCAGTTACTTCTTAACAAGGAATTAGAAAAATCCACACTATTTTGGTGTAAAAAATTGACTACTTAACCTGGTTGTTTGTTGTGTAATGCAAGAAGGTTAGATTTTCATTCTCCATCACTTATTGAGAGTGGATTATGACACTCATTAATGTACAGTACTTTTAATTTGCATCATTATAAATGTCAGTAGCTGTAACATCTTCCACTTGATATGTCTTGAGGTAATTGTCTTGAAACCTGATTGGAAGATATGGAAGAGTGAGATTATCTATGAGAGAGAATTCTCAGTGTTATCATGGATGTGAATGTTATGTTGTTGGTACTAAAGGCAGACATAATGAAGTCTTGGCTCTTGACCTCCTTTTAGGATAGCAAGAGTTGACAGATGCATGTAGAAAGATATACGCATCTTAAATCTTTTTATTAATTTTTTTCTTTGTATAGGTTTGTGATTCATGCAGTAGTAGTCGTGATCATCCAAGCAGTGGTAGTGAGAAAGTATTGAGTGGCTGCAGGACTCATGGCAGTACTCTGGCATCACCATCAATGACTCAGAGTAGACAACGGGAGGGCCCACCAGAGACATCGTCCTCGTCGGGCCCCAGCAGTCATGGGAGCGGAGAACCAATGTCTGAGGGACCAGAGGATTCACCCAGTGCAGCCAATGTGTCTGTTCAAACTGATTCGTCAGTGTCGCTAACTGCGAGCACAGATTTACGCTCCTACCTCAATACTTCCCTTGACAATTCCCTCGACACCTCCATTAGTGCCTCACATGATACCTGGCACCAGTCATCCTCACTGGTATGTAATACTCTATCTATTAAATTTTCATTGCTATATGAATTCCAGATCTCTTATATTGTATACAATTATTGATTATATAGCTATGTTTTGTAGGTAGTAGGTTGGTAGACAGCAACCACCCAGGGGGGTACTACCGTCCTGCCAAGTGAGTGTGAAACGAAAGCCTGTAATTGTTTTACATGATGGTAGGATTGCTGGTGTCTTTTGTCTGTCTCATAAATATGCAAGATTACAGGTACGTCTTGCTACTTCTACTTACACTTAGGTCACACTACACATACATGTACATGTTTGTTTATACACACTCATCTGAGCTTTCTTTGATTTTATCTTAATAGTTCTTGGTCTTATTACTTTTCCTTTTATATCCATGGGGAAGTGGAATAAGAATCTTTCCTCCGTAAGCCATGTGTGTTGTAAAAGTCAACTAAAATGCCGGGAACAATGGGCTAGTAACCCCTTTTCCTGTAATAATTACTAAAAATAATAAGAAGAAAATTGTCAAAGTGGGAAGTCTGAATGTGCGTGGATGTTGTGCAAATGAAAAGAAAGAGATGATTGTGGATGTTATGAAAGAGAAGAAGCTGGATGTCCTGGCTTTAAGTGAAACAAAGCTGAAGGGGGTGGGAGAGTTTCAGTGGAGAGGAATAAATGGGATTAGGTCAGAGGTTTCAAATAGAGTTAGAGCTAAAGAAGGAGTAGCAATAATGTTGAAGGATAAGTTATGGCAGGAAAAGAGGGACTACAAATGTATAAATTCAAGGATTATGTAGAGTAAAATAAAGGTTGGATGTGAAAAGTGGGTTATAGTAAACATATAAGCACCTGGAGAAGAGAGAAGTGTAGAGGAGAGAGAGAGAGATTTTGGGAAATGTTGAGTGAATGCGTGGGGAGTTTTGAACCAAGTGTGAGAGTAATGGTGGTTGGGGATTTCAATGCTAAAGTGGGCAAAAATGTTGTAGAGGGAGTAGTAGGTAATTTTGGGGTGTCAGGGGTAAATGAAAATGGGGAGCCTTTAATTGAGCTATGTGTAGAAAGAGGTTTGGTAATAAGCAATACATATTTTATGAAGAAGAGGATAAATAAATATACAAGGTATGATATAGCACGTAATGAAATGTTTTAAAAATGCAGTATTAGAATGTGGGGCAGAAGTTTGTGGTTATAGGAGAGTGGGTGCAGGAGGAATGAGGAGTGATTGGTGGAATGATGAAGTAAAGGATGTGATAAAAGAGAAAAAGTTAGCTTATGAGAGGTTTTTACAAAGCAGAAGGGTTATAAGAAGAGTAGAGTATATGAAGAGTAAAAGAAAGGTGAAGAGAGTGGTGAGAGAGTGCAAAAGGAGAGCAGATGATAGAGTGGGAGAGGCACTGTCAAGGAATTTTAATAAAAATAAGAAAAATTTTTGGAGTGAGTTAAACAAGTTAAGAAAGCCTAGAGAACGAATGGATTTGTCAGTTAAAAACAGAGTAGGGGAGTTAGTAGATGGGGAGATGGAGGTTTTGGGTAGATGGCGAGAATATTTTGAGGAACTTCTAAATGTCGACGAAGAAAGGGAAGTGGTAATTTCATGCACTGGCCAGGGAGGTATACCATCTTTTAGGAGTGAAGAAGAACAGGATGTGAGTGTGGGGGAGGTGCGTGAGGCATTACGTAGAATGATGGGGGGTAAAGCAGCTGGAACTGATGGGATCATGACAGAAATGTTAAAAGCAGGGGGGGATATAGTGTTGGAGTGGTTGGTATTTTTGTTTAATAAATGTATGAAAGAGGGGAAGGTACCTAGGGATTGGCAGAGAGCATGTATAGTACCTTTAAATAAAGGGAAGGGGGACAAAAGAGATTGTAAAAATTATAGAGGAATAAGTTTACTGAGTACACCAGGAAACGTGTACGGTAGGGTTATAATTGAAAGAATTAGAGGTAAGACAGAATGTAGGATTGCGGATGAGCAAGGAGGTTTCAGAGTGGTAGGGGATGTGTAGATCAAGTGTTTACATTGAGGCATATATGTGAACAGTACATAGATAAAGGTAGGGAAGTTTTTATTGCATTTATGGATTTAGAAAAGGCATGTGATAGTGGATAAGGGAGCAATGTGGCAGATGTTGCAAGTGTATGGAATAGGTGGTAAGTTACTAAAAGCTGTAAAGAGTTTTTATGAGGATAGTGAGGCTCAGGTTAGGATGTGTAGGAGAGAGGGAGACTACTTCCCGGTAAAAGTAGGTCTTAGACAGGGATGTGTAATGTCACCATGGTTGTTTAATATATTTATAGATGGGGTTGTAAAGGAAGTAAATGCTAGGGTGTTTGTGAGAGGGGTGGGATTAAATTTTGGGGAATCAAATTCAAAATGGGAATTGACACAGTTACTTTTTGCTGATGATACTGTGCTTATGGGAGATTCTAAAGAAAAATTGCAAAGGTTAGTGGATGAGTTTGGGAATGTGTGTAAAGGTAGAGAGTTGAAAGTGAACATAGGAAAGAGTAAGGTGATGAGGGTGTCAAATGATTTAGATAAAGAAAAATTGGATATCAAATTGGGGAGGAGGAGTATGGAAGAAGTGAATGTTTTCAGATACTTGGGAGTTGATGTGTCGGCGGATGGATTTATGAAGGATGAGGTTAATCATAGAATTGATGAGGGAAAAAAGGTGAGTGGTGCGTTGAGGTATATGTGGAGTCAAAAAACATTATCTATGGAGGCAAAGAAGGGAATGTATGAAAGTATAGTAGTACCAACACTCTTATATGGGTGTGAAGCTTGGGTGGTAAATGCAGCAGCGAGGAGATGGTTGGAGGCAGTGGAGATGTCCTGTTTAAGGGCAATGTGTGGTGTAAATATTATGCAGAAAATTCGGAGTGTGGAAATTAGGAAAAGGTGTGGAGTTAATAAAAGTATTAGTCAGAGGGCAGAAGAGGGGTTGTTGAGGTGGTTTGGTCATTTAGAGAGAATGGATCAAAGTAGAATGACATGGAAAGCATATAAATCTATAGGGGAAGGAAGGCGGGGTAGGGGTCGTCCTCGAAGGGGTTGGAGAGAGGGGGTAAAGGAGGTTTTGTGGGCAAGGGGCTTGGACTTCCAGCAAGCGTGCGTGAGCGTGTTAGATAGGAGTGAATGGAGATGAATGGTACTTGGGACCTGATGATCTGTTGGAGTGTGAGCAGGGTAATATTTAGTGAAGGGATTCAGGGAAACCGGTTATTTTCATATAGTCGGACTTGAGTCCTGGAAATGGGAAGTACAATGCCTGCACTTTAAAGGAGGGGTTTGGGATATTGGCAGTTTGGAGGGATATGTTGTGTATCTTTATATGTGTATGCTTCTAAACTGTTGTATTCTGAGCACCTCTGCAAAAACAGTGATAATGTATGAGTGTGGTGAAAGTGTTAAATAATGATGAAAGTATTTTCTTTTTGGGGATTTTCTTTCTTTTTTGGGTCACCCTGCCTCGGTGGGAGACGACCGACTTGTTGAAAAAAAAAAAAAAAAAAAAAACATATACAGACCTAGCTGACATCATTGACATACTATTTTCATGCTTGTAATTGCTCTTTCTACTTACTTGATAATGATAACTCTGAACTCGTGAACTGCTCCAGAATGAATTCTTGCAAAGTGATTCATAATATTTTTGCCCCTGTTCAACCTAGAAAATAATAATAATAAATTTATTTCTATTCTGCAGAATACAGGTAAAGTAGTTTACATGTAATAAAATATTGTTAAGCACAAAAGGAAGCCACTAGCATGCGGTGCATTTTGGACAGATTAATCCTAATACTTGGACTAGGGCCGACATCAAAATGACCTGAGGTATGATAGCCTGCAAATTCATTTGTGTATGTTAAAATTTATTCTCCAAGGGATAAGAAGACATAGAAACAAGACAGAAATGTTAAATGAAACAATAAATTAGATTAGGCACCATATGCAGGGCAGAACAGTAAACCACAATTGTGAATAGAAAAATAAAACCGCTGTCAAAAGAATTCTTAAAAGTTTTTCTTCACAGATAGTAGTACAATACTGGAATGAGATGAAGATGTAATATGTATTGCTAAGATCATTTCTGTTTTAGGAATTAATGCATTCATGATATTGCTGTAAAAATTAGCTGTGGTCTTAATGAACCATGTTCATTAATCTTCTTAATCTCATGTTAAGATGATGATGCAAGGGAGGTTTCATTATGAATTATATCATGATATTACACTACACAGATAACCTGCACATGAGAGTGAGAAGCTTATGACGATGTTTCGGTCCGACCTGGACCATTTACAAGTCACACTCTTGTAAATGGTCCAAGTTGGACCGAAAAGTCATCATAAGCTTCTCTCTCCTATGTGTGGGTTATTTGTATATTCCAGTCACAGTATTGTGCCTTTGCGCTCATTATGGTATTAATTTTCAGGCTGAAGTTGATGAAGCTCTTCTGCTGAGTGCCTCCCCAGAGGTGGCCACTAGCCTCATTCTTGGACGCCTCCACCCGTCTGCCGTCCTCCATCCCTCCACCACTGTAGTGCGGTCTTCTCAGGCTGACTCTCAGCACACGGAGACAGCAAGCTCTACCTTAATGCAAGTTCAGCGAGTATCAGAACATCTTGCAACTTCGGAAAATCATGATACGACCACCACAGCCTCTCTGAGTCTCAGCTTTGCTTCTGTTTCAGAGGAAGGAGGTGAAGGGTCTGGAGATGGACTAGATGTGTCTGAAGAAATATTAGAAGTGTCTGAGGAGGCTATATATGTTTCAGAGGATGACCGAGCAGGGAGTTCACCTAGGGAAGTGGTGTCTGACACTCATAAAGATGACCATGAAGGACACAGTAGCCATAGGAGACCGAGCAAAAGTTGTAAAACAAACACTGATGTTGGAAAAACAGTGAGGGATGCAGGCACAAGAGAGACCACCAATACAGGAGTGAAGGAAATCCGTGATGGATCAGTGAGGGATAAGAGAGATCCATCCTGGATGTTACAGTGGGACTCTGGTCGTAGCAGCAGTCATAGTGACTATCTAGACGACTATCTGGAGCTGCTGACAAGCAGGTGCAACAGTGGTCTTGGATTGGAATCTAATGTGCTCTCTGTGGCAACTTGTAAAGGTCCTTCACCAGTCACCACCAGTACTGCAACCTCTAAAGTCACAAGCACAAGTGGCTCAGAGACGTCTAATAGTGGAAATTTCTCCACTGCTTCAGGAGTAAATGTTGCTGGTAAGCAAAAAGAAAAGAAATGTGAGAAGTCAGAAGGTGGACATGAAAAGGAAGTATGCCAGGGAAAAGAGGGAGGAAAGACAGACACTAAAGAGCATATTAAGGAGAAAAGAAGCCCTAGGGAACTTCAGAGAACAAGAGAGGCGCTTGCAGAACCCCGGTCAATGTCAGCAGCTTCAGAGCGTAGGGTGAGCAGGAGGAGTAGGGCCCGAAGATGGTCATCAGCACAGCCGCTGGACCCAGGACGCAGTGTGGGCAGCAAGTAAGTAATTACATAATCCGTTTATTAGTCAAGGTAGCAGACGTTAAGTTATTCAAAGCGTATGTGTATCTAATGCCATTTATTATTTGTCATCTTGAATGTCACATACTGACTTGTAACTGGACTTTAATCTTCAAGGGAGGTGCCTAAGCTCTTAATCCAAGGAACTTGCATCATGTCACTTGGAACAAACCTTATTACCTCCCATTTCCTTGACAGTGCTTGACCCTTATGGTTTTATGATTTTCCTTTGATTATAGTAATTTTTTTTTTTTTCCACATCTGCTGTCTCTCACTACAATAGTGTAACTCAAGAAACACATTAACCGTCTTTTGTTCTAAACCTGTCTTGCCAGAAGTGCACAGACATCACATTTAACATGACCCTCTGAGGTGTTAAGTCATCACCTCTTCTTCATAGTGTAGGCATTGCGCTTTCCACCTTCAGGGCTCAAGTTCGACTGGCAAGCCAGCAACAGCTTGGTTGATCAGGCAATCAGCAGAAAGGCTTGGCCCCAGGCCAAGCTGCAATGGTACAAAAACTTTTTAAATCGGTCACAGGTATGTCACAGATGACTGATTTCCCTGACTGCCTTCATAATTGTCTACTCGTATTCCAACAGGTTGTCAGTCAAATCATAAAAAACTACCATCTGTGTCAAATTATTACATCACTGTTCATGGTGGCCACATTTTCTTTGTGGTAGAAGGTCCAGTTAAAGACCGTGCTGGAAAATACCTTTCATATGACTGATACTCTGAGGATAAGCTTTGTTTACTCAGAAAATCTATCTAGTCAGAAACTATCACTGGTGTGTTTGATGTCTACCTGATTTTTCAGAGGGTCACTGCCCCTGCTGCTCAGACCAGGCCTGGTCCTGGTCAGTGAGGGGCTTTTGATTCCCGGAAGTGGATCTATTCTCCCATTTCTTGGATCAAACCTGATTTCCTCTATTCCCACATTCTGTATGACTTACAAGTTTAGTGCTTCCCCTTAACCCCCCCTTCCCAATTACAATACAGCCTCTCCTCACTGAACGATTGGAGTTTTCAATAAACGAATTCATCGCTAAGCAAGGAGCATACTACAGTGGACCCTTGCCTAACGCTATTAATCCGTTCCTGAGAGCTCAATATTAGGCGAATTAATTTTCCCCATAAGAAATAATGGAAATCAAATTAATCCGTTCCTGACACCCAAAAGTATGAACAAAAAAAAATTTTTTACCACATGAAATATTAATTTTAATACACACAAACTGAAGAAGACATGCATAGTTACATGACACTTACCTTTATTGAAGATCTGGTGATGATTGATGGGATGGGAGGAGGGGAGACTGTGGATGGTGTTAATGTTTAGAAGGGGAATCCCCTTCCATTAGGACTTGAGGTGGCAAGTCCTTTTCCGGGGTTACTTCCCTTCTTCTTTTAATGCCACTAGGACCAGCTTGAGAGTCACTGGACCTCTGTCACACAACATATCTGTCCATAGAGGCCTGTGCCTCCCGTTCCTTTATGACATTCCTAAAGTGTTTCACAACATTGTCAGTGTAATAGTCACCAGCACAGCTTGCAATAGCTGTGTGAGGGTGATTTTCATCAAAAAAGGTTTGCATTTTAAGCCACATTGCACACATTTCCTTAATCTTTGAAGTAGGCAACTTCTTCAATTTCTCTATCCCCTCCTCCGAAGCAGTTTCCTCAGGTGTGGCCTGTTGCTGTTGAAGATGATCTAGCAGCTCATCAGTGGTTAGTTCTTCATTGTCCTCCTCCACCAACTCTTCCACATCCTCCCCACTAACCTCCAACCCCAAGGACTTCCCCAATGCGACAATGGATTCCTCAACTGGCATAGGATTCCCAGGGTTAGCCTCAAACCATTCAAAATCCCTTTTGTCTACACATTCTGGCCACAGTTTCTTCCAAGCAGAGTTCAAGGTCCTCTTAGTCACTTCCTCCAAGCCTTACCTATAATGTTTACACAATTGAGGATGCTAAAGTGATCTCTCCAAAACTCTCTTAGAGTCAATTGAGTTTCTGAGGTCACTACAAAGCACCTTTCAAACATAGCTTTTGTGTACAGTTTCTTGAAGTTGGAAATGACCTGCTGGTCCATGGGCTACAGGAGAGAGTGGTATTAGGAGGCAAAAACTTGACCTTAATGAAGCTCATTTCCGCAGAAAGTCTCTCTGCCACGTCTGAAGGATGACCAGGAGCATTGTCTAATACCAGGAGGCACTTAAGGTCTAATTTCTTTTCAATTAGGTAATTTTTCACAGTGGGGGCAAATGCATGGTGTAACCAGTCATAGAAAAAGTCCCTAGTGACCCATGCCTTACTGTTTGCCCTCCACAGCACACACAAATTAGCCTCGAGGATATTCTTTTGCCTGAACGCTCTGGGAGTTTCTGAGTGATACACCAATAAAGGCTTCACTTTGCAATCACCACTAGCATTGGCACACATCAGAAGAGTAAGCCTGTCTTTCATAGGCTTATGTCCTGGGAGTGCCTTTTCCTCATGAGTAATGTAGGTCCTGCTTGGCATTTTCTTCCAAAACAGGCCTGTTTCGTCACAATTAAACACTTGTTCAGGTTTCAGTCCTTCACTGTCTATGTACTCCTTGAATTCCTGCACATATTTTTCAGCTGCTTTGTGGTCTGAACTGGCAGCCTCACCATGCCTTATCACACTATGTATGCCACTACAACGATTCTTAAATCTCTCAAACCAACCTTTGCTGGCCTTAAATTCACTCGCATCACCACTAGTTGCAGGCATTTTTCTAATTAAATCGTCATGCAACTTCCTAGCCTTTTCACATATGATCGCTTGAGAGATGCTATCTTCTGCTATCTGTTTTTCGTTTATCCACACCAATAACAGTCTCTCAACATCTTCTATCACTTGCGATCTCTGTTTCGAAAACAAAGTTGCACCTTTGCAAGAACAGCTTCCTTGATTGCCGTTTTCTTGGCCACAATAGTAGCGATGGTTGATTGGGGTTTTGTGTACAACCTGGCCAGCTCGGAGACACGCACTCTACTTTCATACTTAGCAATGATCTCTTTCTTCATATCCATAGTAATTCTCACCCTTTTTGCTGTAGGGTTGGCACTAGAAGCTTTCTTGGGGCCCATGGTGACTTATTTTGCAGGTGCAGTCACGAAAAAGGCTGTGATGATATGAAATGTTCTGATTGTATGCTTGGAAGCGACCATGGTGGCTGGCTTGTAAACACTGGCACCCACGGAACAAGTGAGGCGGGCTCAGGCCGCACGTGGATGCGTCTCGAACGAATCGCGTTGAGCGAGTTTTTTAGTGCTAGCCGAGGCAAAATTTTTGCGTTAAAATGTATCGCTAGGCGGATTTAACGTTATGCGATGCTTTCATTAGCCGATGGTCCACTGTATAATGGTACAGTGGAACCTCTACTTGTGAGTTTAATCTGTTCGGTGACCTTGCTTGCAACTGGATTTTCTGGTTTTCCACATTTAAATGAATTGAAATGCAGTTAATCCGTTCCAGTGGAATTCTGTACTTCAGTCATTTCCCTAATATCTATACGGCTTATTTATCCATCACAGTTCATCTAATATGACATAATCGACAATATAAATAACATAGAAACCTGATATATACTCTAGAATGAATAAAATGTCATTTTGTAATAGGTGGAGGCAGCCACAACAGCTATGTCTTTGTTGTGGTAAAGACTGCTTTTTTTTTTTTTTTTTTTTTTTAACAAGTCGGCCGTCTCCCACCGAGGCAGGGTGACCCAAAAAGAAAGAAAATCTCCAAAAAGAAAATACTTTCAACTTCATTCAACACTTTCACCTCACTCACAGATAATCACTGTTTTTGTAGAGGTGCTCAGAATACAACAGCTTAGAAGTATATACATATAAAAATACACAACATATCCCTCCAAACTGCTAATATCCCAAACCCCTCCTTTAGAGTGCAGGCATTGTACTTCCCATTTCCAGGACTCAAGTCCGGCTGTATAAAAACACTGCCGTGTATTATTATAAATATTATTACGTATATAGTACATTATCAGTTCTGTTTGTGACTTGAAAAAGCCCACTGTGTGGGCGAAACGTAGTCAATAAAGGATCACATTATACTGCATATGTGTTTATATTTCCAGGTAGATGTCGTTTTGATAAGGACCTGCCTCGTATGGGCCAGTAGGCCTTCTGCAGTGTTCCTACTTTCTTATGTTCTTATGTTCTTATATAGTACATGTATATTATTATTATTATTATTATTATTATTATTATTATTATTATTATTATTATTATTATATAGTACATTATTATTATAGTATATGTATTATTATTATTATTATTATTATTATATTATTATAATATATGTATTATTATTATTTTATTATAATATATGTATTATTATTATTCCATGGGGAAGTGGATCAGAATTCTTCCTCCGTAAGCCATGTGTGTTGTAAGAGGCGACTAAAATGCCAGGAGCAAGGGGCTAGTAACCCCTTCTCCTCTATATATTGCTAAATGTGAAAGGAGAAACTTTCGTTTTTCCTTTTGGGCCACCCCGCCTCGGTGGGATACGGCTGATGTGTTGAAAGAAAGATGTGTATTATTATTATTATTATTATTATTATTATTAATTATTATATTATACTATTATTATTATTATGCATATTATTATTATTATTATGCATATTATTATTATTATTATTATACATATTATTATTATTACAATACAGTGGACTCCCGGTTAACGATATTTTTTCACTCCAGAAGTATGTTCAGGTGCCAGTACTGACCGAATTTGTTCCCATAAGGAATATTGTGAAGTAGATTAGTCCATTTCAGACCCCCAAACATACACGTACAAACGCACTTACATAAATACACTTGCATAATTGGTCGCATTTGGAGGTGATCGTTATGCGGGGGTCCACTGTATAAATAATTTGTAATTTTTATTCACGCAAAAAATAGAAGATTTACTGTTATGCAGACTACTGCCTTATTGCAATACAGTGGACCCTCAACCAGTGCTGGCATCGTCTAACGATAAAATCACCTAACGATGCGTTTCTGTGTAAAAATATTGGCTTGGCCAACTGTGTAAAACTTGGGTGACATCATTCGTCCCGAACGCGTTGGCCTGTCCGTCCAGCCTGAGCGCCTCAGCTGTCCTGCCTTCAGCTAGCGTGCCATTGTTTACAAGCCAGGGCGGATGGTTCCATGCATATATGCGATACATTTTGTATTATTTTATTCTTTTTAGTGCTTGTAACTGCTAAATAAGCCACCATGGGCCCAAAGAAAGCTTCTAGTGCCAACCCTGTGGTAAAAAGGGTGAGAAATACTATCGTACCACAGTCAGCTGCTGCTGCACCACCGTCAGCTGCTGCTGCACCACCATCAGCTGCTGCTGCACCACCATCAGCTGCTGCTGCACCACCATCAGCTGCTACTGCACCACCACCATCAGCTGCTGCTGCACCACTGTCAGCTGCTGCTGCATCACCATCAGCTGCTGCTGCATCACCGTCAGCTGCTGCTGCACCACCGTCAGCTGCTGCTGCACCACTATCAGCTGCAAGCTGTACCGCAGTCAGTTGCTGCTGCACCACTATCAGCTATTGCTGCACCTCTGTCAGCTGCTGCTGCACCACTGTCAGCTGTACTACTCGAAGATGTGGAGAGTGTTGTTGGTGTGGCTTAATGAGAAACAGTTGCCGAGAAACAATTAACCCTAGAGGGTTAGCCACCCAGGATAACCCAAGAAAGTCAGTGTGTCATCGAGGACTGTAACTTATTTCCATTGGGGTCCTTAATCTTGTCCTCCAGGATGCGACCCACACCAGTCGACTAACACCCAGGTGAACAGGAAAAAATGCCTGGAACTAGTGCTCATATTGGTGAATTTAAAGCCAGCAAAGGTTGGTTTGAGAGATTTAAGAATTGTAGTAGCATACACAGTGTGATAAGGCATGGCGAAGCTGAAAAATTCCAACCCCAACAAGTGTTCAGTTGTGACGAAACAGGCCTGTTCTGGAAGAAAATGCCAAACAGGACCTACATTACTCAGGAGGAAAAGGCACTCCCAGGATACAAGCCTATGAAAGACAGGCTAACTCTCATGTTTTGTTGTAATGCTAGTGGGGATTGCAAAGTGAAGCCTTTACTCATGTATCACTCAGAAAATCCCAGAGTGTGCAAGAAAAACAGTGTCTCATCGCTCATCAATACTCTTCAGTAAAGGTAAGTGTCATTTTAGCATTTATTTATGTAGTTATTGTGCATGTCTCATTGTTTTCTTTGTAGGGAAATGTATTCTTCTTTCAATGTACCAGCCGTATCCCACCGAGGCAGGGTGGCCCAAAAGGAAAAACGAAAGTTTCTCCTTTTAAATTTAGTAATGTATACAGGAGAAGGGGTTACTAACCCCTTGCTCCCGGCATTTTAGTCGCCTCTTAAGACACACATGGCTTATGAAGGAAGAATTCTGTTCCACTTCCCCATGGAGAAGGGAAATGTATATTTCATGAAATTTTTTTTTTTTTTTAATACCTTTGGCTGTCTGGAACGGATTAATTGGACTTCCATTATGTATTTCTTATGGGGAAAATTAATTCGGCTAATGATAAATTTGGCTAAGGACAAGCTCTCTGAAATGAATTAAAATTGTTGGTCGAGGGTCCACTGTATTGGTATCTGCTGATTATCATGGTATTGGTGGGTATCAGCTTATTTTGATGTTATTGGGATCAGCCTAAAATTGAGTATCAGTACAGGCAAAAATTTCAGTTACAGTATGATGTTACAGCTAAATCACTTGTGTGATATCACTGTACTAGCCACCACCATCAGTGTCACTACTCTCTCATCCCACACTCCAAGAAGTCTTCTTGGTATAGCTATTCTTGTACCTCTCATGGCCAGCACAACCACACCACAGAAGTGCTGGCTGTAAAATCATGCCATTGTAATCTCTGTGGCTTATTTGTTTATTGTGCATGTAAAAGTAGGTATTGAATATTAAAGGTGCTACTTGACTTATATTGGTTCAGCATATGATATTTTGACTTTACGATGGTGCAAAAGCAGTTACTTTGGAGATGAAACTTGAGATAATTACCCAGCATGAAGGCGGCAAGTCTGTAACTTGTACTCATTTATTTACTCTTCAGCACTGGTAATTATTTCTTTATTTATTCAGTGACTAGTTATTTATTTACTTATTTAGCATATCACATATGTATTTGACTTATGAAGGTGTTTGTCAGAAAGTAACTCCATCATAAGTCGAGGAGCATTTGTAGTTAGATTTTAGTTGGCCTTTCCATGTATACTCTTTTTATCTCTGGAATTTTGTTTAGTATTAGTAAGGCCATTTATGATGTTTACCACTTCATTACAGGTACCTTGATAGCTACTTGGGCAACTTAACAGACGATGCGTGGCTGCAGTATCCTACTAGACTGACCTCCCGTCATATGGTGTTCCTGGACTCTGATGACTACATGCACTCTGTCAGACCACAGACTAAGAAGACTCAAGAGGAAGGATCGGACTCCAGGAACCGCTCGGAGAGTTCGACATCAGAGGAAACGAGAGAACCTGACACTTCTATTACTTCATCAGATGACCCTCTTTCTAATATTAATGATGAAAATAGTTCTTCAGATCTCTCAATAAATCCTTCTGTTAAAGACAGAAAGGCAGTAACAAGTAAACAACATATTGTTAAAGAAAGTCAGTCAGCAGAAGCACAAGGCATGACATGGTCTCAGAATTTGGATCTTGATAATAAAAAGATTGCAAGTCATTCATTACCAAATGAATCTTACCAGGATCAGGAGGCAACAATGGATATGTCCTTAGGAAGTCAGGTTTTACAAGAGAATGGCTTACATGAAGCCCCTGAAACACCATCTGATAAGACGGAAAATAAAGTTAGTAGCGATGAAGGGATTGAGGTTCTTGGAAGCCCATTAAGCACAGGATCAGATGGAAAGCGCGATGATGGCATTGGATCCAAAACCTTCATTAAGGAAATTAAACAGATTCAAGTAATTCCTCCAACCCCGAGCGAGTCTGAAAAATTTATTTCCGATGAAAACAGAAGTGAAGTGGAGAGCACAGTCTCAGCATTAAAAGTTGAGGAAGTTTCAGGCTGTGCTGAGCGTAGTGAGGAGTGTCAGGATAGTTCTTCAGAAGACAGTAGTGAAACAGAACCCAGCACTATTGTTTATGTTGATGACTGCCCTACTGATAGCCTAAGTGAAGGACAGAAAAACTCTCTGGTTGATAGTGAAGTTAGAAATAAAACTCAAGTAGACACCAAGGAACAGATTAGTTCTCTGACAGATAGCAAAGAACAGAGTAGTTTACAGGAGGATGATATAGAAGCAAGCAGCTGTGATATACAGGGAAAGGAAAGAAAAGTGAGTGGGAGTGAAACAGTTTTGGTACCTAAAAAAGTTGCCTCACCACGTAAGGACAATGAAAAAACATCAGAGATAGTAGAGCATCAACTTTCAAGTTCAGTTGTTCAGCTTGTTACTGTATCAGAACATACCGAGGAAATTGGAGAACGTGGAACAAGAAAAACCTTGGTGACGTGTACTCAAAGACTTGATGATAATAGCCAGGATAAGGACAAAGTTTTAGAGTATGACATGTATGATTCAGATGATGAATGCTTGGTAGTGCAAGTGTATGAAGATAAGAATATTATCTCTCAAGGTGAGACAGGAAGTGAAGTTGCTAAATGGGAAAGAAAGGAGAGTACAGAATCTGATCAAGTTGAGCAAGTAGTAAAAATTGTTCCACAAAGAAAGGACAGGTTAAAATACAATAGAGATAGCAGCTGTGATGTGGATCTTGTACCATATAAAGGTTCGGAAGATGCCATGGATCAGGTTTTGACTTTACTTAGAGCTAAACAGCAGCAGGAGTTAGAGGAGCTGCGCCTACGGCAGGAAGAGGAAGTTCGAGAGTTCATTAGGCAGCTGCAGTGTGTATCCCCTGAGCAATTGCAAGCATTCCTCCTTGCAAGCAGTGGTAAAAGTGCAGATGGCAATGTTGGGGATGCTTGCTCATATCAGATGCCTCAGAATATTCTCAAGACCAAAACTCTTAGATCAGATATTGAAAATGATGAAGTAAAAGGTGGCAATAGGCAGCAGGGCCCAAAAATAAGCATTGCATCATACAAAGAGGCATCTGTTCCCGATGAGAGTGATGATAAAGTAGTTTTGAATTCACAGATCTCAATTGCAAGTGTTGATAGTGTTGAGGTAGTTTCTCCAACCATTCCAGGCCAGGCCAGAGAATGGGGAAGTCAGTCAGGTTCATCACCTACAGCCACACATCCATTAGTTACACAGTCGTGTTCCTCCTCTCATCAGTCTGTCTCTCATATTCCCATGCAGACTTTCACATCAAGCACTACCCCTCCTCCCACAGCTAATGAAAAAACTAGGGTAGAATCTCCAAAACCCCGACCATCCAACCACACCAACCTCATGCCCTCTTACATTATGAATGAAGAAGCCAGAAAATCTTCAGGACACCAGGAAAATGAAAACTATATACAACATGATTTAAGTTATCAAAATATTAGTCCAAAGAAATTCATACCTCATATGTCGTGTGGTCCTCATCACATACCACATTCGGGTACTTCAGTAAGTGATTCTGATAGCAGTAATGTTGCATATTCTCTAGCCAGAAATAACAATTCTAATCTTGAATCTGTTGACTCTGTGAGTTTCATTAATGGAAATTGTGTAAATTATGGTGATGGAATGCAGTACTATAGATTGTGTACACCTGATGAAGATCTCACCATTGATGACATTACTCCGAAAATCACAGTTGTTGAATCAAGTTACCAGTCACAGCCCACAGAGACAGTTACCCAACCTGGATTGTTTAAAGTATTGAGTAATGGCCCATGGTGTGCCCCACGGCCTACCAGCATCACCAGTCTCTTAGCAGAGCATCCAGAGATCTTCAGAGAAGACATAGTAGAAGTTAACCTTGGAGACTGGCCACCATCAAGTGTGGGACTTGGGGAATCCTGCAGAAATGTAGTGGATGAATGTAGTATGTCCCGTGAGGCAGCTGCCATAGCTGAAGGGGGACTTGACATGGTTCCTGAGCGAGAATGTGCCACCAATGTCCACTTCCATCGTCTGGTTAGTCTAAAAGGTTTTGTTAATTTTATTTTTTTTCCCTCAACAGCTGTCTCCCTCCAGGGCAAGGTGACTGGAAAAGAAGCCACATTTGCTATCATTCAAGCAATTGCTAACTTTTCTTAAGTGTGCCGACATCACAGTTCAGATAACCCTCAGACTGCAACATCTCCACTGCCCTTCCCACTTCCAGAACTCAAGTCCAGCTAACTGATTTTCCTGAATTCCTTCATAAAACTTACCTTATTCACACAACATCAAGTCCATTAAAAATCATTTGCACTCATTCTGTCTCTAATATTTTGTAGAGAAGTGGTGACCTTACTGTCTACTACTCTGGTGCAAACATCCCTCACATCTTCTGAAAGTGAGGAAACGGTAACTTTTTGAGGCGTGTATTTTGTATTCACAAAGGAATATATTTTTTGAGATACTCAAAGAGCCATGGTCTTAATGTTACTCTATACATTTTAACTTTAATTCTCTTTTTCTTCACATTAATGGTCACCCAGTTTTGGATAGAAATGGCTGACATGTTAAAATTTTTATTAGCTCCTTATCATTAGTCTTGTCTGATATATTTTTTTTTTGCACCTGACATTTTGCATGAGTGTTGTGAGAAGTGTGTGTTGAAGGAGACAGTGCATAGAGTATTGATTCATCTTGTGGAATGACCTGGCAATACCTGGAAAGACACAAAAAAGTTAAAAATAAAGAGCTGTTCAGAGGATTAACATATCGTGGGTGACCTTTATTAGTTGTTTGTACACAAATGTGGGGGAGAATTAGTACACTAGTACCGAGGATGATTAATGTCATATGACTAGTATATATTAGCTCAAAACAGAAATTTATACTGAGGGAGTGTCTTTGTGAATTGCCATGGACCATTCTTGACTCTGAGCCTTTTTTTATTGATTTTTTTTTGAGGGGGGGGGGAGGGGAATAATTTCCAGAAAGAGTCTTATTTTGTAGCTCCTAGATAGTTCAGCAGGTTGCCACTGTGTGTTAGGAGCCTGTTCATGCTTTAAAGTCTTGGTTGAAAGTGCATCTATTTACTAGAGCTCATGATCATTACCATACTTTCACTCGAATATAAGCTGCAGTTTTCTTCTGCATCATTGTTGTTACATTTATGATTTGGTGCACAAGTACTTGTGATTCTCTGGAAAGAATAGGCACTCAAAAAAATAAATTCCCAAGTTATTATTATTACGGTCTGGCCTAGCTTCACAGTGCTTTGCTTTACTGCATGTCACTAATGCAGCGGTGTTCAATTATATCTAGTTTTCATTTATTCAATTTCCCAGTAAAAAATTTTCCCCACTCACTATAACCAAGGACCAAAATATTTTAAGTAATAATGTGTAACCATATGCTTTTTTTAACCTAGCTCTATTGCTCACCAATTTTTGAAATTATTTTCAGTAGAGTAAAACATGTTACAATTTAGGAAAATAATAAAATTTTATAATCAAGTTTTATAGTGTCTTTTTTATTTTTTTATTACTTCTATAAATTTTTTTTTTCCGTATTTATTCAGTATTTTTTTATAGTTTGTTTTGTTTTTTTTTAGAAAATTTTTTTTCTACCTTTTTAAAAATTTTTTAAAAATACCAATTTAGTTTTCCCTTTTTTTTCAAATTTTTTGCAGGAAAAAAATTTTTTTTTAGTCCCTAAAATTTTTTAACGAATTGCGAGTAAAGAATTTCCCCTTTTGGATTAATTAAAGAATAATTCTTTTCTTTTCTTTTTTATGCTTTTAATTATTTTAATTTAAATTTTCAGTGATTTTTTTCTTATGTAACTTATAATTTTTAATAGCAAGTTGGGTTTAAGTTTCATTAATTTTTTTTCTGTAAGGTCTTTTTGCCCTTCATATATTTTTTCATTCTTTTGCTTTCATTTTTCTTTTGGGTCATATCTAAATTACTACAATTAATTCAAATAGCACACTGAATAACATCTAAAAGACAAGACACACCAGTGCGCAGGGGTGTGCATTGTCTTGACCGACACACCGGGTAGTTCTTTGCCAACTGACAGACAAAGCAATTCATTAACAAATAGTTTTCCCCTGAATCTCTAATCTTCCCAACCTTGACTGAAACCCTAAACACTTGAAGCTTTTTTTACTGCCATTTCACTAAGAAATGATTTTTCAGAAGATCCTTCAAAAAAACCTATCGGCGCATGCAAGGAGCAGTGAGGCTTAAGGGAGGTTCCTATAATGTATTATAAATGCCTAAAATAAAAGCTTACACTGTTAACATATGCAATGTTGCAAGACAGCAACAGATAGGAGGGATAAACTCTGAGGTAAGGCAGAAGTATCATGTGGCCCATGACACCCCTTCATTTTTGTCTGGGCAGCCATTATACCTTTTGCCTTAACTCAGGAATTTTCCCTCCCATCCTTGCTGTCCCTTTCAACATTCATAACCCTGATGATCATGAGAATGCAAAAGATCCAGCAAAGATTTTCCTTCCCATGTGGCTTTTTATATTAAACACCTGTCTGGATGTATTGCCAGCATGTATTAAACCGAAGTTGTTTTTAGATCGGAATGTGATTTTTTGTTAGAGGCACACCCGACTAAAGCTTTTGGGTTCTCGATACATGACACAGAACCCTGCGACCAAGTTTTCCAAGCACACAAAACCCAGCAGAGATTGCCAAACTACTCAACAGTTCCATCGAGATATCCCACGACAACATCCCCAGGGCGATGAACTTCCCAAGGCTCTTTAAAACAGGGGCATAGTGTTGAAAATGGAAAGAAAACCAACAATTGATGACTAAGACCGGGGAACAGTTTTGGGGATCTTTATTGTTGAAAAATTTTAACCCAGCGTAGGGTTCTTCAGTCAGATACGGGGACATTTAGGTCTTCTTCTTCCAAAAAACTGGCCGTATCCCACCAAGGCAGGGTGGCCCAAAGAGAAAAACAAAAGTTTTTTCTTTTGAAATTTAGTAATTTTCACAGAAAAGGGGGTTTCTAACCTTGCCCCGGGATTTTAGTCACCTCTTACAACACACATGGCTTACGGAGGAAGAATTCTGTTCCACTTCCTCATGGAGATAAGAGGAAATAAACAAGAACAAGAACTAGAAAGAAATTAGAAGAAAACCCAGAGGGGTGTGTATATATATGCTTGTACATATATGTGGTGTGACCTAAGTGTAAGTAGAAGTAGCAAGACGTACCTGAAATCTTGCATGTTTCTGAGACAAAAAAAGACACCAGCAATCCTACCGTCATGTAAAACAATTACAGGTTTTCGTTTTACACTCGGCAGGACGGTAGTACCTCCCTGGGCGGTTGCTGTCTACCAACCTACTACCTATAAGACGTTAGGTATAATAGTGAAATAAAGATGATGTAATCAGTCCATCAGAATTGGAGGAAAAGTATTTGAGGTGGTCAGTCCCTCAGCCTGGCTGAGGAGTGAAGCATTTCAATAATAAAGATACCCAACTGTTGCACATGTCATAATCAGGTGCAGTAGTCTTAAATACAGTATTGTAGTTTCTTGCCGGGACAAAACAGCATTGTATATTACAAATTGATTTTATTTGTATTCTTCTTCTTTCAACTTACCAGCCATATCCCACTGAGGTGGGGTGGCCCAAAAGGAAAAACAAAAGTTTCACCTTTTAAATTTAGTAATATATATATACAGGAGAAGGGGTTACTAGTGTAGTATACTGCTTTTGTTCTGATGTTCTGATAGGTAGTAGGTTGGTAGACAGCAACCACCCAGGGAAGTACTACCGTCCTGCCAGGTGACTGTGAAACAGAAACCTGTACCTGTTTTACATGATGGTAGGATTGCTGGTGTCTTTTTTCTGTCTCATAAACACACTGGATAACAGGTATATCTTGCTACTTCTACTTACACTTGAGTCACACTACACAGGCATGCACATGTATATATATATATATACACACATCTAGGGTTTTTCTTCTTTTTCTTAATAGCTCTTGTTCTTGTTTTTTTTTCTCTCAATTATCCATGGGGAAGTGAAAAAGAATCTTTCCTCCGTAGGCCATGCATGTCGTATGAGGCGACTAAAATGCCGGGAGCAATGGGCTAGTAACCTCTTCTCCTGTACACATTTACTAAAAATGAGAAGAAGAAAAACTTTATAAAACTGGGATGCTTGAATGTGCGTGGATGTAGTGTGGATGATAAGAAAGAGAAGATTGCTGATGTTATGAATGAAAAGAAGTTGGATGTCCTGGCCCTAAACGAAACAAAGCTGAAGGCGGTAGGTGAGTTTCAGTGGAGAGAAATAAATGGGATTAAGTCAGGAGTATCTGAGAGAGTTAGAGCTAAGGAAGGGGTAGAAATAATGTTGAAGGACCAGTTATGGAAGGAGAAGAGGGAATATAAATGTGTAAATTCAAGAATTGCGTAGATTAAAATAAGGGTCGGATGTGAAAAGTGGGTCATAATAAGCATTTATGCACTTGGAGAAGGGAGGAGTGTAGAGGAGAGAGAGAGATTTTGGGAGATGTTAAGCGAATGTATAGGAACCTTTGAATCAAGTGAGAGAGTAATTGTGGTAGGGGACCTAAATGCTAAACTTGGAGAAACATTTAAAGAGGGTGTGGTAGGTAAGTTTGGGGTGCCAGGTGTACATGATAATGGGAGCCCTTTGATTAAACTTTGTATAGAAAGGGGTTTAGTTATAGGTAATAAGTATTTTAAGAAAAAGAGGTTAAATAAGTATACAAGATATGATGTAGGGCGAAATGACAGTAATTTGTTGGACTATGTATTGGTAGATAAGAGACTGTTGAGTAGACTTCAGGATGTACATGTTTATAGAGGGGCCACAGATATATCAGATCATTTTCTAGTTGTAGCTACACTGAGAGTAAAAGGTAGATGGGATACAAGGAAAATAGAAGCAGCAAGTAAGAGAGAGGTGAAGGTGTATAAACTAAAAGAGGAGGCAGTTATGGTAAGATATAAGCAACTATTGGAGGATAGATGGGCTAGTGAGAGTACATATAGGCAATGGGGTCGAAGATGTATGGGGTAGATTTAAGAATGTAGTGTTAAGAGTGTTCAGCAGAAGTTTGTGGTTACAGGAA